TGCATAATGATCAATTCTGTGGCTAAATAACACAGGGCAACGATCTTAAATTAGACCCTCCTAAATCTCAATTATTCCTTTTTTCATGGCTGGTCAAGTTTTCTAAAGAGAACGGAAGTCTGGCAAACAGCAATAATATGCAACTAAGACCCTATGCACCACTTACGATCCTCAATACCGGCAAGAAGTGATCCCTGAACAGAGAGCCAGGAATAAGCCCTCAGTACAGCCAGGTGTGACCCAAAACCCAAAATCAAAATTAAAAAAATTTAAATCTCACTTCAATTAAACTTAAGTACTGAGGAGAGATAAGAAGCAGTATATTACAGTCTCTCCCCTGAGGGAGGTTAAAGAGCTACCAAATTGAAGATCTAATGATCTAAGAAATCTAAGAAAACAAAATAGCACTAGGTAAGACATACTTAAAGAATAGCAGAGCAGAACTGTTCTATAGATGATCAGTCCTAGGGAAACTCATTCCCGGCTTCATGGCTATAAATTCAAGCAAGCTCCTCAAGGATGGAAATATTTAGGTAGTATAAATGGCAGGTAAAGGACAATGGAAAATAGAGAGGCCTTAGAGCAAACAGCAGAGAGGGGCATTCTGGCAGCAGGGGACAAACCACTCTGAGTGGAAGGATTCTGAAGTCAACCCTGGAAACTTTCGATCTGACCAGCTCAGATAAAGAAGTCTGAACTTCATTACACAGTTTCTAGATAGAAAGTGACATTTGCGAAATGAATCAGGAGTCAAAATTACAGGATAAATTTCAGAAATGGAAAGACCAGAAACAAAAGAGTCTGAGATTCTATCATATTTTTCCCATATTATTAAATCACAGGCATACTAGATGATTGGAAATACTAAGAGGGAGTTTTGAGACAGTGAAGATAGGAGTTAGCTGTAAATTTGCAAATAACTTATTTCAGCTTGGCTGAACACTATCTTTCTTGTACCTTATTCCCAGAGTCAAGACATCCCAGACATCTGCTATCACTGTCTCACAAAACTCACCTCTCCAACCACACAATATATTTCATCCCAAACAACTGTATTTATAAACATAAACACATCAGTAAATCCCCAACCCTGAACCTTTGGTCTTGCTGTTTCTTCCACCTTTAAAGCCCTCTCCATCTTCACTCTCTAGTTCAAAGCCTCTTTGCACCGAACTTTCCTTTGAAGTCATAAAGTGAAATAAGTCTTGTTTCCCATCACTCTCCACTTTCTCTCAAATACTTTTTATTAAAGGTAGATGCGGGGCTAGAGCGAGAGCACAGTAGGTAGGGCGTTTGTCTTGCATGCGGCTGACGCGGGTTCAATTCCCAGCATCCCGTATGGTCCCCTGAGCACTGCCAGGAGTAATTTTGAATGCTGAGACAGGAGTAACCACTGTGCAAGGCCGGGTGTGACCCAAAAAGAAAAAAAAATTAATTAAAGAATAAAAATAAATAAAGCTAGATGCATTTTATCTCCTCTGATAAACTGTATATATCCCTGCAGCAAATGTATTCAGTACATTTTTGTACTCCTCCCTCCTTTCAAAGCTCATTGAAGAGCTAAATAAATGATATATAGCAAAAGCACTTTATGACCAAAAGCAGACTGAAGATTGGTCGAGTTTAAATTTTAACATTTCCATGTATTAGATAGGAGACCCTGGGAAAGCTTTTTCTTATTTTTCATTTACTTAAGGAATATCAGTATATGAAAGTGGAAAAGTTTAGACGTTTTAGGGCTACAATGTCGCTACACAAAGTTAGTCAGGCTTTTTAACTTCTCTAAGTCTCAGTATCTTATACATGAAATGGAGATAATATTAATAGAGATATCATAAAGTTGAGAGTTTGGCTTAGAACACTGTAAGCACCATAAAAGTATCTTTTAAATATAGCAGGAAACTATGGAATAGTCTGTGATACTTGAATATATAAACTTTATTTACTTACTGAAAATAAAATGTCAAAAGCAAATCCAGCCTCTATGTACAAAGCACCTATTTACAATTTCTTCCTGAATCTACTTATAACGTGCCTTAAAGGTTACCATAAAAGTCTTCCTTATGTTCACAATGGTTCTATTTTGACATTTTAATATTCTGAGACAATCTTGACTTGAGTTACCTTTGACAATACCTACTCAATTGGTTTACCTGCTTCTGCCCTTATCCCTTTAATCCATCCTCCACAGGCTCAACTTGTAGCCTTTTCAAAATGCTGATCAAAGGTTCTTTTCTGCTATTGTAACACACCATCCCATCTTCGCATAAAAATTAAAACTCCTTAGCATCCCATATAAAATTGTCCAAATAAGGTCCCAGTCTAAACTCCATCTCTAAGACATCTTGCTATAAACCTGGGTCACACATCAGAAGTTTATGCATACCATTCCTTTTTCCTTAAAACCCTGTGTTTGTTTGCTCAATCCACCATAACAAAATATCACAGACTGAATGGCATACAGAATAGAAATTCATTTTTCAGTTGTAGAGGTTTGGAGTCCCAAGGTCCAAGTTTTAGAATATTTGTTACTCCTGAGCTTGCAGACAGCTACATAGAGTCTCTTTTTATGTGTAAAGTTCCTCTTCCTATAATATCAAATCAGTATGGATCATAACTCACCCAAATAGCTTCATTTCAACCTAATCGCCTCTTGAAAGGTGCTATCTCCAAATACAATGATTTTCTAAGATTTTGGAGGTCAATGCGTTTTACACTAGTTATAGCATCCTGTCTCAGGGTACACAATTGGTACTCAAATGTTAAAAATTCTGCGTCTGGATTTGGCAGCCAGTTCTATGTGGTAGCTCTGCTTTAAGTTGCCTATTTACAAAAATAACTCATTGTAGTAATGTGAGGACTTAGATGGGTATCCAACATATAGTAAGTATTAGGTAAGAGTTTCCAATCATTATAAAAACACTGCAGGTCTGAACAGGCATAACTTGAAACCATGAATAATTTAGTTCCTTCAATTATTAAGTCATTTTTAATATATTACCTTAAGGCCCAGATTTCTCACCAACTAAACAGGATGGTAACTAATGAAGCACAAAAAATAGCTCTCCACTATGGAAAACAACCCTCCTTGGCTCATATTTTCATTAGTAGAATCATTATATTTTTTTACTGAAAACATTTGAGATGAAAATCCAAACCTAGGGCCAGAGAGAGTTTAGCAGGAAGGATCCTTGCCTTGCAAACAACCTAGAGGGGCTTGACCCTCAGAACCTGTAGGGTTCCTTGAGCTCTGCCAGGAGTAAGCTCTGAGCACTGCCAGGAGTGACCCAAAAGCAAAGCAAAGCAAAAAAATAAAAAGTTGAAAACTATCAAGTCAAACTGAGCTACTGAGCTGGGTCTTCAAGTGCAGCTCTGTGGGGGACATGAATTGCAAGCCGAAAGAAGGTATTTTCACTAAAATAACACAAAGGGGTTCAGGACTTATTCCAAGGTGTACAGGAACCAGTAATAGGAAATAACACTGGTAAATACCTTGCAATTATCCAATCTTCAAGGTCAGTAATTTCTGAAGCAGCTAACAAAATCTCTGACTTGTAACTTTCAAGAAAAAGCAGATCACAGTTTGTAACTCTATGTGTTACATAAGCAAAGTCTCTGAGACTCAGATTAGAGCAACAAGGTCCATGATTAGGGGAATCTACTGATCTCACAAGGGGGTTCGAGGTGCTGAAAAGCATTGTGACTCCTTTCTCCTCTAAACTGCATTCTGTGAAATAACAAAACACTTTTTCGCACTTGCTGACTGAGACTTGTTGAACATCCCTTAATTTTAAAAATAGAAAGCTGGAATAACTGCTGAGATGATAAAGTCCATGCCTGCCCTTCCCACCACCAAACGTCCTTCACGGTTTGTTTTGAAGTGTCACACGACCAGCATAAGCATGCTATTTGGAGATCCCTATAACTCAAACTTCCTTCTCTAGCAAACACTTGAAGGTCAAGAATAATGCATTAAAACAGATTTAAAAATGAACAAGTCCATTGCAGTTTGTTCTGAGAATCTATTCTTGCTTGATGACTTTTCAGTGGAAAGTTAATGTTGTTGTTTGGACTGCATAAACTGGCACGTTTAAATAAAAGGTGCGCCGATAAGTGATTGATCTCTGCACTATGCTCAGGACCTATAAATCTTTCTCCAGTGTTGGGGGAGTCATCATAGGGCTGGTACCGAAAGGCCATCAGCCAATACCCAATATTCACGCTTGAATAAACCACAGCAAAATCAACCTCTAGAAGAAAACAGCTCGACACGATACAGAAACAGCTCTTTCCCATACCCTCTCCTTTCACAAGCATCACAGATGGCGACCGAGGCTTAAGGCTTAACGTAGAGACACTAAAGCCGCTCACAGCTTAAGGATGGAGCTCTGAGAGGATGCTGCCCGGCAGAGATGCTGCTAATCCTCTAGAGGCACATTTGGGATGAACCCTGAGCACGGAGCTCCCCTTTGCCCTCTCTTTGCACCCACACTTGGGGAAACAACCCACTCCCCAGAGCGCGGCAGCAACCCAGCGAGGAACCAGCCTTCCTACATCTCTAGCCTCCGGCCCGCTGACCGCGCGTGACCTCCGAGTACCCGGGGGAAGCCTTCGGAGGAAGTTGGCAAGGGCAAGTTCGAGAGCGCGCAGGAAGGCTTACTCACAGGAATGGCCCAGCTCTGCCGTCCTCCACCCTCACTCCCTCGGGAAGCGAAAGCTCCAAAGCCGAGGCAACCCCAAGAGCAGCCGCCGAGCTGCCGCCGCTGCCAACCACCCCTCGGGCGTGGCAGAGAACGGCGGGCGACTTCACATCATCATCACCAGGCGACTTGAATTTTTGCAGCGACACCAGGTCAAGGCCAGCCCCCACACAATTGGGGTACGAGTAGGAGACGCCCACAACTCCCAGCAGCCTCCACGCCGTCCGCGCATTACCTGCCGGGAATTGTAGTTTTGGGTTGGCCCCGCCCCCTGGCCTTCGGAAGTGGCGGCTGCGGAGAGGTACCGCCCCCACCCGGAGTCCACGGCTCCGCCCCCTCGCGGCCGGGCCCGGGGTGGGAGGCGGGGCCGCGACCTGGGGCCCGGTGGGGCGAAGCCTGTCCCGGCTGGCTGCCTGGGACTGGGGCAGAGTTACCAGCCGACTGCCCCGGCTCGGATCGCGCCGACCTCCCGCTGCCCGAGGCCCGCGCTGGGAGTGGGCCTAGCGCTCTCGCCTCGTCTCTCGGCGGGTCGGCTCCCACGCGTGCTCGGGCGCCCCCCACAGTGGCCTTGTGCAGAGAGTCGCCGGCCGGGGTCGCTGTCAGGTAACGAGGCGTGGCGTGGGGGGAGAGGCCAGTCCGAGGAGGGTAAGATTTAGGGGCCCTTCGAGCACGGGCGCTCTGGGTGCACGCCGCGGGAGGTCCGGGCTAGAACTTGCTGCCACTCCTCGAGCTCGATCCCAAGAGAATCCGGCTCGGCTTGGCGAGCAGCCCCAGCTCCAGCTCTGCACCTCGCGTCCCCCTTCCCTCCAGGTGGCGGGGCCACCGTCCTGTGTGTGCCCGGACGGCCGGCGGTACCTGTCGGGCGGGTGCACGCTGCAGCTGTGCGGGACGCCTGATTCCAGCGGCGACTCGCCGCTGGCCGCTCACGCAGACCTGGCGGAGTTTGCAGACCGTAGACACGCTGGGCTCCTGGTGGCACCGTCGGCGAGTTCACTACAAGTGCCCCAAAGCTGGACCGGGAAGGGACCTTTGACAAAGCCAAACGGCCAAACCTCCTTATGCGCTGGACACTTGAGCTCAGCGTCGTGTTTTTCCCCCTTCGTGGATTTGTTGTGTAAAGTACCTTTGCCACCTTCCCCCCCACCCCGAGCGTGTGACCCAGGATTTGGGTCCTGTGCAGAAGCTGGCACACAGTAGGCGCTCAGTCAATATTTTTTGAAAGCGTGAGTCACGATGCTAAATTTGGAAAAGTCTACTGAGTGGTGCGTCGCTATGATTTTTAAGAGTTTATGGGCTCCCATGATCACTTAGAGAATTATATTAATTGTAAACTTAAACAAAGGAGTTCCCTGCCCCCCCCCTTTTTTTGCATTTTTGGAAACAATGGTCTCTTGCTAAACTCATTCTGTAAATAGCTGTGCGCTTTGATTTTCACAGAAAACGTTTCAGATTAAAGTTTTCCGAGAAATTCTTCTACTCTGTACAAAATTTAATATAGAAAGCTTTATTCTAATTCACTTTTCAGATACAGGTGCAGGAGACCACATAGATAATTTATAATCCCCTAGCAGGGGCCTCGACCTCAAAATGTCTTACAAGATTATCGCTTACTAGTCTGGCATATTAAATTCTCTGGGACAGATCCACCCACAGGGACATCCTCTGTAAGGTAAAGGTAAAGACCCTCCCGTTGATCCTCGATTTGCTCGAGCGGGCCCAGTAACGTCTCCATTGGAGACTTTGTTGTTACTGTGTCTGGCATATCGAATACTCTCGGTAGCTTGCCGGGCTCTCCGAGAGGGGCGGAGGAATCGAACTCGGGTCGACCATGTTGGCCGCTTGTAAGGCAAACGCCCTACCCGCTGTGCTATCGCTCCAGCCCTCTGTAGTGCTAACCATTTTCTCCTTCAACTTTTTAATGGAATGTAATGTATTCCTTTTATGCTTTAATGAAAAAAAATAGATGATGTAATGGAGTTTAAAGTTTTCTCATTGTTGCTGTTAATATTAGTAAATATTAACTTGGGAAAAGCAGAAGTCAGAAAGCCCCATAATCAGAAAGATCACTTAACCAGGACATCTCTATTCTTTGTGCTGTGAGAGTAAGAGCCTTGGTGTTCACAGCCTTTTCCAGGGCCCAAGTGTCTCACCTTTGGTAGCTGTTTATCAAACAATTACAAAATTGTTGGGGTGCTCACTGCAAGGGTTGGTGTGGGATAGATAGATTTATTCAGGGCTGGCTATGGAAAGTGGTAAACTTGTTCCCCAAACTTTCCTACTTCCAGGCTGAATCTAGAGCTGATTGAAAAAGTTAGAATTAAAATATGTAAGTGGGAGAAAGGGGTCCGGTTTTGAGAAATTCTGGCCTGAGTCAGCAGTTCAATGAATACCCTGGGGATGGAAGCCTGACCCTTATAAAACTTTGTTCAACTTCTACCTTCTGGCAGTTAGATGATAGCCTTCAGGAGTCTTCCCAGAGGACCTGATTGCTCTTTCCCCTGGATACCTAATTGGACTTGGTTTAACTTTAAACCTTTCACATGAGCATGGGAACATCCCTTAGGAGTGAGAGACAGGGCAAAGTCCAAGGAGTGGAAGGTTCTAAGAAGTCCTTAAGTGTAGAAGGAGGTGGAGTCTAGTGCTTATTTACTTACAGAAAGGTACTTGACTGTTTCAGATAACAGTGTAGTGACTTGGTTTTTTTTTTTTTTTACCTGTGCATTTTGTTAGAATAGGTTATGCAAGTGAGAATTCTACAGATCAAAAGATAGAAACAATCTCATGCTTATCAAAACATTACCCACTTACTTTCCAAGTGAGTCTTAGCATTTTTGTCAAGATTGTTGTCAAGATTGTATTTGAAAGTACCTTTCAGAACACACACTCAAGCTCTTGTATATCTACACATAGCTGCAAATATTTGTAGATCAGTACTGCCCAAAGTTGGAAATACTGTTTCTGAGGGGTACAGGAATGATCAAAGGGGGCAACAGTAACTTCAGGTGCAGTTGGGTGTGGGGGAGGCACTTCTGTTTATTGGTTTAAGAGATATTTTTTTGGGGGGGGGACACAGTAATTTTTTTTTTCTGAAAGGTGCATGTCTTCCAAATCAGTTTTAGGACCTCTGAATAGGCTCTGTTGACATACTGTTTTGTAGTTATGAGCATGTTCAAATGGAGAATCCCATTTTATTTCAGTCATCCCAGAAAGGAACGAGGGCCGGTAGTAATTGCCTTCTCTCTCATGGTACCACATCAAACTCCAATGCTTCAAATCAGTGACAGTGAGTAGCAACATAATAACCTCTTTCAGGATTTTCTTCCTCCCATTCTCTACCTCTGGGTTGTAGTGAACAACCTGAGTAAATTCACATCTTTCCTCAGCAGTGAAATTGTTTTGTAATATCTCCAGTTTACAAATAGTCCTTGCTCAGTGATTGCAAATGGCTCAATTAAACTTGGAGACTTCATTAAAATAAAATAATGAATCACAGTTTAAATGAAAGAGATAATTTTGCTTTGATATAAGGAAATACTTAAGCATTAGCAAGTTTAGAACTTTACCATTCTTTCTATTAGGCAAGGTTTGGAAGTTTTTAGTGGTGCTTTCTAGCTTTGTAACCTAAAGAAGTTACATATTAAACCTGTGAGTCTGTTACAGAACCCTCATTAATTATGGATTAGTACTTTATTGGTGAAAATGGATAGGAATTGCTTAATCATCTGTATATATTGCATATCTGTCAGTAATTCCAGGAATAATAGGCTTGAGAACAGAAAAATATCCTAAGATAAAATATATTCACTCTGCATATAAGTGGAACCCTTTTTGGTTTACTTGTGATGTCATTTGTATTAAAGTGGGACCCACATTGCTTTTTAAATTTTGCTTTCTATTTAATTACAGTGGGCCTAAAAAGCAGAAAAGGGTCCAGTAAGTAGAAATGCTTTTTTTAAATTTAAAGGCCTAACAGCCCTCTTGGAATAAGAGCCCTCATCCCTCAGGCTATCCTCATCTTGCTGTATTTATTGCTTAGAATCAGTAAACATTACAACTACAGACATTCTTTAGTTGGATTGGACTTTTACATATCTGAGGGTGTTGGTCAAATATAAATATAAACAGGTGTAGTTAAGTATAAACATACATTTGGGTTTAGTTGAACCTAAACAGATATAAAGCCCTTCCTTCAGGGGAAATTCTAGGAGCTCCGCCCAGGGGTGGCACTCCATCTTGGGGCTCCAACATTTCCCACTTCTTGTTTCACCATTCCTTCAATCAGTAGCTTTGGCTGGACAGCTTCCAAGACTTGATTGGGTTGCGTTGGAACCTCTCTGGCATCTGGATATCCTTGGGCAGAGGGAACTGAATTAGGTATTGTGATTTACTCTAATTGATCCTCAGGAATAGACTCCAGTGTGGTGAATCTACTAACTGTCCATTAAATCAGCCTACTATAGTGAACTTAAGTCGTTTCTGCTGCCTCTAATTTATACAAAAAATTTCAGCAAATTACTGAAATATATTGCTTTCTCTTTTCCTTTACTGGTAATCTATTTAAACAATCGTGTTAAATGTACTTCCTATTAAAATTTGCAGTCATTTTGTATAAACACAGTAAAAGATATAGACTCTTATCGATACCCTTGATTAAGCTTAAAATGCTCTCTCTGGGACACAAAGACAGAGAGAGAAGAAAAGTGCCTGCCATAGAGGCAGGCTGGGGGATGGGGGTGGAGGATGATATGAGGGAACCTGGGGACACTGATGCTGGGAAGTGGACACTGGTGGAGAGATGGGTGTTGGAACACTGTATGACTGAAACCTAAGCATGAACAGCTTTGTAGGGATCTATCTCAGTTATTCAATATAAAAGTTAAAAAAAATTTTTTTAAATAAATAAAATGGTCTCTCTAGACTCATGTTAAAGGGTGGCTTTTCCTGGGGACATTGTGCTATATTTTCCAGACTTCAGTGCTCAGACCAGGTTAGCTTTTCCTAACTCCAGAAGGATCCTTTTCAGTTACTTCTTTTTTGAGTCATGACAGAGCTTGTTATATGACCGTGTTCTTAACCTCATACTTTTTATGGCCTTTAGGCTGTCCCATGTAGAAACCAAAGTACCTTACTGCTTACCCTGGGTTCATCTAAGTCTCTCAGTTGGGCCTACCTTTTTGGCTGGGCCAAAAACTAAGGCCAATGTAAGGGCAAGTGAAGTATAAGTCAAGTAAATGTAACAGATGCCCAGGACATAATACTTTTTGGACTCAGTTAACTCCCATATTACAAAAACCTAATTGTAATTGCCTTCCTGTGTCTATAGAACTTGCTCTAAAATAAAAACATACTAAGGACATAAAGGAAAAAGAAAAGCAAGTATTTTTCTTACATAATGAAATCTAAGACAAGCATATGATATGATTTCAAATCAAATTATACACTTATAGAATCATATAACTTATATAAATGAGTATAAAATATTATTTAGCTGTATTTTTAATCAATATAACTTTGCCTCCAGGTTTTACTCCTGAAGACAAGAATAATGCTATTTACCCTTATTTATTATTATTACAGCGGTAGGGCGTTTGCCTTGCACGCAGCCAGCATGGCCGACCCGAGTTCGATTCCTCCGCCCCTCTCGGAGAGCCCGGCAAGCTACCGAGAGTATTCGATATGCCAGACACAGTAACAACAAAGTCTCCAATGGAGACGTTACTGGGCCCGCTCGAGCAAATTGATGAACAACGGGAGGACAGTATTTTATCTTGCTTTGCAAGCTAGTTGTTTCACTATGGCAGACATCTCAGTCCTGTTGGTAGTGTGAGCTCTGCAGTGGCTTATCCAGAGTACACTTAATAATGCAATTATGACAACTAAAAGAAGAGCTGTTATGATTGCTGTAGGGGTAAGAAATGTTTGAATGGATTGAGATTGCTTACCAGTGGAAAGCATACCGTCAGTCATGCTTTCAAATAGATCACTGCCGGAAAAAACTTTAAATTTGTGAGAGTATCAAAGTATCAAAGATTACGTTGTAAATGTTGTGTACCATAAGAAATATTTCCCTGATTAAGCAGATGTTTTCTAATTAATTTCCATAAATGCCGTGTTTCATTATAAATTTTGGAAATAATGCAGAACTGAGTAAAATTTAATCAGATTTCAATTGAACTTTAGTTTGTAGATTTAGTATTTTATCCCCTAGAAAAGAAATGCTCTTTAAGGACACTTTTCAGATTATGTCATGTCATGTCTCATGTCAAGGAATAACTGCTAAACAGGTTGGGGGTTTGTGGGAATTAGTTTCTTAAGGAATTGTTACATATATGTAAGTTATTTTAATTTTGTTTTTAATAGGATATTTCTACATCTTAAAAGAAAAGCAGAAATCTTTGTGAAGTAAAGCAAAAATATCTCCTGGAATAGATGGATTTTTGGTAACTTTCTGTGAACTAAAGCGATTCAATGTCTCTTTTGGTAAGTTTGTTAACTTGATTTAATTTTGTATCAAATCAAAGTAGTATAGACGTTCACACAGAGCAATAACAAAAGATATATTTTGATGGGATTTTCTAGTTGCTAAGAATCTTAAAATTAAAGAAACTTTGTTTATGGACCTTTCTTGTTCACAAAGCCAGCTGGCTTAGAAATAGAAATTAAAACTAATTTGAGGAGACATTTAGCAGAGATACATAAAATATGCTATTTTCAAATAAATTCCAAAAATTTCAGTATTATTCACATCTTTCTTTCCCTTCAAGATCTGTTCTGTCAATTCTCTAAAGTTTCTACAGTTGAAATATTTCCACTAAAAAACCTTCTACAGAAAATGAGTCATATTTCTATTGTATTTGATGAAATGTTCGAAACTTTCTCATCTGCAAAAACATAAAATGGCATACTAAAAGAAAGCATTGGCATTCGTATCTTTAAAATGTGAGATGTTCTTTTGACTTGAATGGTTTTTCTTCTTAATAAAATGAGTTAAGTTCTCACTGAGTTTTTGTACTTTTGAAAAAAGAGCTTTTCCCGTAGTTTTCTGATCCACTCATTCTTTTTTGTTCCTTGGTTTTAGAGGCACACCTGGGTTGTACTCCAGGCTTACTCCTGATTCCAAATTCAAGTCTCACTCCTGCTGGGCTTGGGAGTCCAAATGGAGTGCTGGGTATCAAACTGGGTCAGCCTCGTGCAAGGCCATCCTATCTCTCAGCTATACTATCTTACGCGCTATACTATCTCTCAGGCCCCTACTCTTAAATATTCTATTATTTTGTCTTATTGCTTCTATTTCTCATACTTTTTTTATACTTAGATTTGCCTCTCCCATTCAGTTAGCCCTAACCTTTAAATCATGAAAAAATCCTTTTTACAAGTTTCCATCTGGGCAAAGGCAAGCACAATATGGCAAAAAGCATTTGGAACAGTGTCTAATAGAATGTAAAGATACCAAATTGTTTTCTGTTTTTACTAGCTTCATGGTATTTACTTAAAGTAGTTTTAAAACTTTTATCATGCCATATATAGAATATCATTCAATATTTGAATTCTTGAAATAAAATAAGCCAGTGACTTTTTAAGAAGGAATGGGTGCATTTAGAGGAGTATACTTATTTTACAAATGAATTCTTATATCCATCTTAGTCTTCAAAATTGTCAATGATTGACAGGGCAGGTGGTATCCTCATTTTCATTTTCGCCCAAGATTGCAAAGAATTAAAGTCTGAACTTAAATTCTCATCTACCAGTCCATGCCATCATTTGCAAGTGTGAAAGGCAGAGATAAGAAGTTAAAGACTGTATTGTTAGTTATTTGGAAACTATAAAGCATGTATACTTTATGTTTGATGTAAAGATTTTTTTGTACATAAGAGGAGACCTTTATAACTGGAAAATATAGTCAGTAAAGGTCCTAACTTGTTCCTAAATTATAGGTGTGAACATTCTCTAATGGCCAGATAATATTTGTTTGCTATATGGTCTCTTAAGTTACTCTTTTGTTTCTATCATGAAAGCAACCATAGGCAATATGTAGCTGGACATTCCAGTAGAACTTTATTTCTAAGACGGGTGTAGGGTCAGAGGTGGCTGATGGACCAGTTTTCTAATCCCTGTTCTTAAGAATTAATTAAGAGCAGGAACTGTATCATCTTTTGTCATTTTAAAGGATAGGATATTTGATACACGAGGATCCTGCCTGCCCAGGATTTCCAGCATTGGGGAAAAGAACAGCACTGTTGCTCTGTCCTCCCATTCTTTATTGATTTGCTCGAGCACCAGTAACGCCTCCATTGTGAGACTTCTTGTTACTGTTTTTGGCATATTGAATATGTCATGGGTAGCTTGCCAGGTTTTGCCATGTGGGCGGAATACCCTCAGTAGCTTGCCGGGCTCTCCGAGAGGGGCAGAGGAATTGAACTTGGGTTGACTGCGTGCAAGGCAAACGCCCTACCCTCTGTGCTATCGCTCCAGCCCAGGGTAAAAGAATATATTACTTAATTTGTTATTCCACAGTTGTAGGAATCTTAAAAAGTAATAGGCTGTGGGAGGGAAATTAGGTTAGAGAAGGAACCAGTAAAACAATGATAGCTGGAAATGATCACTCTGGACAAGAGCTATGTGCTGAAAGTAGGTAAAGGTATATACATGATAATCTCTCAGTACCTTTATTTCAAACCATAATGTCCAGAAGAAAAAAGTGTGAGATAGTGAGTTTGGGGGGGGGGGAAGAAGAAAAGTTGGGACAAGGTAGGGTGGAGGAGGTGGAGGGGGCAGGTGGGAAGGATGGCGGGAGGGAAACTGGGGACATTGGTGGTAGGAAATGTACACTGGCGAAGGCAAGGGTATTGGGACATTGTAGGATTAAAATCCAATCATGAGTTCACAATAGCCAGAATCTAGAAACAACCCAAGTGCCCAAAAACAGACGATTGGTTAAAGAAACTATGGTACATCTACACAATGGAATACTATGCAGCTGTTAGGAAAGATGATGTCATGAAATTTTCTTTTAAATGGATGAACATGGAGAGTGAAGTGAGTCAAAGAGGGACAGACATAGAATGACTGCATTCATTTGTGGAAATATAAAAATAACATAATATGAGACTAATACCCAAGGGCAATATAGACAATGGCCAGGAAGATTGCTTCATGGTTGGAGGCCTGCCTCATGAGCTGGGGGAGAGGGCAGTTGGGATGGAGAAAGGACTACTAAATCAGTTATGGTTGGAGGGACCACTCTGAGTGGGAGATGTGTGCTGAAAGTAGATAAAGGACCAAACATGATGGCCTCTCAGTATCTCTGTTGCAAATCGTAATGCCCAAAAGTAGAGTTAGAAGGAAATAATCTGCCTTAGAGGCAGGGGGTGGAGTTGGGTGCGGGTGGTAGAAGGGATGCTGGGGATATTGTTGATAGAAAATGTACACTGATGGAGGGATGGTTTTCCAATCATTTTATGACTGAAACTCAATCATGAAAGCTTTGTAACTATATCTCACAGTGATTCAATAAAAAAATATATATAAAACCCAATCATGAACAACCTTGTAACTGTGTATCTCATGGTGATTTAATACAAAAATAAATAAGTAGTAGAGTAAAGTTTTACCCTCTCTTTGAGAGCTAAAAATGATGTATTTATAGAAGCATATGTAAAATATTTTCTTTTCAATTTTTATAATGTACAATTATTTTTACTTGCATATTATCATAATTCACAGATAAAATGTTGTATCCAAAAATATTTGGGGAACAAAAGCAAAACATATGTGGCAGTGGGGGCAGGAACAGTTATCTTTCTTCTAGATAGGTGTTAAATTTTTGTGCTGCCTGACGGATAAATCACTGTATCACTGTCACCCCGTTGTTCATCAATTTGCTCAAGTGGGCGCCAATAACGTCTCCATCCATCCCAACCCTGAGATTTTAGCAGCCTCTCCTTACTCGTCCTTCCCAATGGTGCCAGATTGGAGGCTCTTTCAGGGTCAGGGTAATGAGACTCATTATAGGTACTGTTTTTTGTACTGTATATTGAATACGCCACAGGGAGCTTGCCAGGCTCTGCTGTTTGGGAGGGATACCCGAGGGATACCCCTTGGTAGTTTGCTGGCCTCTCCGAGACTAAGACAAAGAATGTATGTAAGAGAATACAAGCAAGTATGTTAAAGACCAAACCCATGTATGCTGCTTTAGGTACTATAGTGGGCTAAACTATGAGGTCAGCTTTGTTTTATAGTCTCTGGACCTTGTCCGTTGATGGGATTTCATGGCTCTGGGGGCAGTTTGTGGGTGTGACTGCCAAGCTACTGGAAAATGGGGGATCTGGGTGGAGGAGGCCCAGTTCCCATCCGAGCAGACTTGGAGACCTCAGCCCTGGGTCCTGCATACCTGGGTTCCTCTGCCAGTTCCTTCATGCGTGAGGCTTTTCTGACCGTGCGGAGAGTGGCCTTGAGCATGGCTGTGGCTGGGTTCTGGAGGTATTCACCTGCTTGGGGCGGGAGGGAAACTCATCCTCCTGAAGGATACTGAAAAAAAAAATAGAAATCTTAAATACAAAATATGTATTACTATGACCTAACATAGTAATTTTAAATATGAGCAACAGTAATATGAATCTTTTAAAATAGCTGTACAATAAATTTTATCCACCCTAGGTAAACCATTAGAAAATTTGCAAAGGAAAAGATGGTACAGATCTGTAGTTATTCATTGGTAGCTTCTGTTCTTTCTAGCAAACTTTACATACAATAACGAGAATATGTATTCAGTTGTGACAAGATTAGTAAGGTATACAGACTATAGTAATTCAACATAGAACAGCAATTTAGACCAACTGGAAAAAGAATTGATTTTTGCTGAGAACAAATGTTGAAATATTTAAAAGGAAAGAAACTATCAAGTGAGTGACTTTTTTGTTTTTGTTTTTGATTTTTGGTCAAATCCAGGGTCCCATACATGCAAGGTGAGTGCTCTATCACTTGAGCTACTTCTCTGGCCTATCACAAGTGTTAAGGAGACCTGGATGAACTTTTATTTAATATTAGCCTTCTAATGTTTACACACAGCTAATGTTCTTGAGATGCTTTAAAATAATTATAAAAGTAGTATCTTTTTTTTTTAATATTCTTAGGTGTATCCTTCCTAAACAGTATAAACTTGGCTTCACCAATTGATAATAAATAGATTACATGGGTGACGTTACATTTCTTTATTAACCCTGTATTAAAAAAAAAAAACATGATTTACCATGCAGAACTATGTAAATTATACTGGGACTAAATCTCTTTGTTTATATTGAGTTGAAGTTTGAAGATGTTTATCACAGTAGTTTCACATACATTCAAAGTGTGGTTTTATGTGGGTAAATATGATTCATATACTTACTGAAAAGAATGCCCAACATCAAAAATCATTTTAATGAGTACTGGAGAATTAATATATGGCTCCCTATAATTTGGAAGAAAACTTCAAGGATGATGACAGAGTTAAAAATTAACACCATGGGGCCAGAGAGATAGAAAAGGGTTAAGGTCATGCTTGTTTTGCATGACTTAGGTTCAAGCCCTGGTAGCACATATGGTCCCCTGAGCACACAGAGTCAGGAGTAATTCCTGTGCATAACTGGGTGTGGCCCAGAAAAATAATTTAACACCAGCAGTAAAAATGAGTCCGTATTTCACATTCAGAGATTCAGAGAAAAGAGGGCAAGGCTCAGAATAGTAGCAAATAAACATAAAAATATGAAATATTATCAGAACATAGTATGACTGAAATCTAGTCATGAACCACCTTCTGAAAAAATAAATATTTGATTCTTAAAAACAAACAAAAAGAAGAAATATTTCTGCACAGAGCCCTTCTGAATACCCCAGTGGTATGGATACTGGCTTCATTTCAAGGTTCCTGTATGCAGTCCTTCTCTCTATGCTTCACTCCTGTCACCAGGCCTTTGATGTTTGCTTGTGTTTCGGAGCCACATCAGTGCTAAGGGCTTCTCCAAGCTCTGCACTTAAGGACACTCCTGGAAGACTCAGGGGGACCATTTGGTGTGCCGGGGGTTGACCCAGGTTGACAGGGTCTTTTTTATTTTTTATCCCCAACTTAGACCCCAAATGAACTTGTGGCTTTTTAAAAAATACTCATTTCTTGCGTTTCTGAATTTCTAGAACTGTTTCTGCACTTCAAGAACACAAGTTGAATCACTCAGACCCGAAAAACAGCCTGAATCCAGTATTCATCAATACTTGGTAAGAAAATAATTCAGTACAATGAATAGTCCTCCTTTGGTTTCTGTAATACTGTTCACTTTTTGTTCTTCTCTTTATATGTATTTTCCTGGTGTCTTTTACTGCTTTTACTGTTTCTTCTTCTATCCTGGTTACTCTCCTGAACACTGTAATAGGCTTCTTAAACAGGCTTCTTCTCTGATGTCTAAATAGGCTCTCCCTGAGTAGCCCCACTCCTTTCACTTTGCTCGCTTAGACCTTCAGTGTCCGAAAGCTTCTCTCCACTTCAGGCCGTGAGAAGACTCTCAAATTGAGCAAAATTCAGATCTTTACTTTCTTTCGTTCAGGCCGTGAGAAGACTCTCAAATTGAGCAAAATTCAGATCTTTACTTTCTTTTCCTTTTTTTTTTTCTTTTTGGGTCACATCTGGCGAAGCTTAGGGTGACTGCTGGTTACTCCTGGCTTTGCACTCAGGAATTACTCCTGGTGGTGCTCAGAGGACCATGTGGGATGCCAGAGATGGAACCGAGATCTGTCTCCGGCAGGGCAAATGCCCAACCCACTGTACTATCGCTCCAGTCCCAGAATTCAGATTTTTAACCTTCATTCTAAAATATATGCCTGCAATCCCAGGCTTTCCTGAGAACCAGAACTATCTGTGAAATCCTGATTAGAGTTTTCAAAGGCACTTATACTCGATTTGAATAAAATCTTGGTCCTCTCTCAAACTTCACTCACTCATTGTGTCTCCTGCTTTCCTTATTGGAAACCTGTCTGCTAAGTCACCCAACTGGAAACTTTAGAATTAATCCTCACTCACAAGGACTGCCTCCACTTCTGCTCCCTTATTTAGTTTAATTATGCACCAAGTTTTATGAATGTGGTTCTGAAATGTCCTGAGTCCATCCTTGCCTTAACTTGACCATTGCTACTATTCCAGAGATGTCTTTTGCCTGGAGAACTTCAGGTGAACTCATTTTCCTCTAGTTTCCTAGACAGACAACTTCCTTTCAGTATCTCAGTATTCAGCACTTCATAGACCTGTTTATATCACTTTTTAGATTTAAAATTTTCATTAGTTTCCTAAAACCTGTAGATTAAGCTGGAAATTTATTGGTATGCATTAGAACTCTTAATGATGTCTATATGTCATTTTTTTAAGTTTCGTTTGTTACCACAACTCTTCTCTCTTTTCTCTGTCTCAGAAATTCCTCCTCCTTCTTAAAGAATCAAACATAACAGAGATGAAACCTTTCCTCTGGTATCTTTATTTCTGCATCTACTGAACATGCTCATAAAATGGCATTTACTATATTTCACAAGGATTAATATTTATCTAACTGTAAAATGACCATTGGTAGTCATCCTTTCTTTCTTTTTTCTTTTTTTTTCCTTAATTTTCCTTGGTAAATTCTTGGTATTAAAAATATGTAAAGAGGGGCTGGAACAGTAGTGCAGCAGGTAGGGTGTTTGCCTTGCACGCGGCCAACCCGGGTTCTATTCCCAGCATCCTATATCGTCCCCTGAGCACCGCCAGGGGTAATTCCTAAGTGCAGAGCCAGGAGTAACCCCTGTGCATTGCAGGGTGTAACCCCAAAAGCAAAAAAAAAAAATATGTAAAGAAACTTGTTTAGGAATGGGATTATTTTCCTCTTTAATCCTTATTTTTTTCACTACAAAATTGAACCTGCCATTCCAGTGCTCTATTTCCTTAAAAAAAAAAAAAAAGGTAATCCCAGTTAATCTTGTAGTCTTGTTTATATTTTTACCTCATCCTATTTTCACTTTTGTCATTTCACTTTTTCCTTACTAAAGTCTTGCATTTGCAGTAGCATTTTGGAGCCAAACGCTACTTCAAAGATGATGACAGAGTTAAAAATTTTATTTAGGTATTACCCCTCAGGTTGAGGTGATATTCAAAGTTCTCTGGTTTACTTACTTTGTGATGCTAAGAAAGAGGGCTAGAACACCAGGAACTTTTCTGTTTGTTTGTTTGTTTGCTTTTGTTTTTGGGTCACACCCAGAAATGCTCAGGGCTTACTCCTGGCTCTGTGCCTCAGGGTTCACTCCTAGATCTGTTGGGGGGCCAAATGGAGTGTTGGGAGTTGAACCCAGTTCAGTCGCATGCCAGACATGCGCCCTGTCCACTGTACTATATCTTCAGCCTCCATTGATTTTTAAATCTTAATATAGTTTAGATAAAATGATAACAATAGTATTAAAGTATAGTGTCTATATACAAAGTTATTGCACACCTCCCCGCTTCCCCCTGCCCCCCCCCACACACATACCACCAAAGTACCCATAATTCTCGACCACTGTCCATCACCTTAGCCTGGTCCTCATTCAGACCTGCCAATGGCTTGTCATTGTGAGATATTGTCTGTTCACTTGTTTTGTCTCTTGATATTCTACAGATGAATCAGATCCAGTATTAGTCCTCCCTCTGACGATGATTATTATTATTAGCATTAATAATTTATATTATTTAAAGTAAATAACATGGTAACAATATAATGTAACGTAATACTCTCTTAACATAATACTCTCCAGGACCAAAACTATTGGGGATCAAAGTGGGGTTTGCCACATAGAAGGCATTCTTAACCTTTGTATTGTCTCTCCAGCCCTATACCCTTTCCTTTAAGCATGATTTTTCCTAATGAAGCAGATGGAAGCACTGTATAGGCTGTTTAGCCTGATTTTACTCCATCTGATTACATCATGCCATTTTTAAGCAATGAAACAACAAGCCTCAGTTTATTCTGTGTTTTAGCCTTCCTATGACAGCTTAAAGGCTGAATCATTAATTTTAAAAATATTAGGGTCAGAGAGCTAATACAACAGGTTAGATGCTTTCCTACCACACAACTGACACAAGTATCAACACCCTATCCTGTCCCCCAGCCCCACTAAGGGGCTCTCTGAGCACAGAGAGAGGAGTATGTCCTGAGGAAAGCCAGGTGTGGCTCAAGCCCACCTTCCCAATTATTGTATGTTTTCTTCTATATTCTCTTTATATTTTCTTATATGTGATCTTCATACCTTTATTTATTTGAAGACTACATGTTCTAAAGAAATTTAAATTTTTTCCTTCATTGAGATTATTTCCAGTTGTTTAAGATTTCTTTTTTCTGTTTTCTTCCTTTTTGAATCATATCTTTATTCATCTTTAGCCATGATCTTGAATTTCTTTTTCTGATCTCTTAAAATTTAGGTACAAACCTTGTAGAACCAAATATGTAAAAATAGTTAGCACAATTCCTAGCACATAGTAAAGTCATTTCTAACCCCTTCTTCCATCCCTCTACCTTGGAGGCAGTAACAAGATCCCTGTCACCTGTTGGTGCCTGTAAAGTCATTTGGAATACCCGTGTCCTTTGGAAAATCCTCCTGGCTATCTTAAGACACCAGTGGTCTGACCTCTCCTTTCACAGGAGGAATGTGATTTCACTGCCAGGGGATCTGCAAGCCTGACTCACAGCATCCCAGGAAACCCCATATTGCCACAGAGTTACTAACTCTGGGTATCTGTGTCCAGTTCTCTTGTCTTGAGGGTTGTTTTCCTGACCTCCCTTCTCATTCATTTCATCTTGTGAAGAACTTCAGCAATTTTAATAGACTGTAATGTGGATTTACTTAAAGTCTGCTAATAACTTCACTAGCTAACAAGTACCTATATGTGTAAGTAGAGATCACCAGCAGCCACTTGAAGTAGGAGAGAAAGTACAGGCTGTCCTTCAAGCTGCCTCCACCCGCCCCCCCCCCCCCCCCCATCACTTCCCTTGATGTGTTTCTTAGATGTGCTGAGGGATTAACAGCCATACTTAGCAAACTTCTAAAACTGTTTACTGGCTTTTGTCCTGGAAAAAATGCTCTTCACTTACTCTAGGTCCACTTTTCTTTCTCCCTCTTTTCAAACTAAGTTTTCTAACTAACATTGATTATTAGTACTTATAAACTCTTTAGACCTTCTTAAATTTCTTAAGCCAGGCAAATGCCCTACCCGCTATACTATCGCTCCAGCTCCTGGAACTTAAAAATTTCTTAAGCCACTTTACAGTGCTTTTTGAATGAGTATTTGTGTATTTGAAACCACACTATCAGTATTTTCTTATAGGTGGGGGAGGCAAAAAAGTTTATACCTATTTTGTTTTTATCTTTTTTTTTCCCTTAATTCAGGTTGACAAGCCAACCCTTTCCTGGTTGCCCCCATCCGCTGAAGCCCCTGAAGTGATTTGTTCTACCAATGTTTCTCAGTATGAGCTCCAAGCCGAGATAGGTAATAAACCTGAGTTTTACATAATTGAGTCTGTACTGAAATTGATGACAAAAAGGTTATTTTGTAGCCAAATGAATCAGTGTATGTGGAAGTCACCTAAACCATAAAACTATATACAATTATGTCTGTCAAATAGTTCTACTTCCTGGACAAAGAGACAATACATATTGCACTAGGCTGGCTGGTACAGTCCTATGCACCACATGTGGTCTCCTGAGCACCACCAGGAGTGATTCCTGAGCACAGAACTAAGAGTAAGCTCTGAGCACCAAAGTTTAACTTAAAACTTTGACTATAATCTCTCTTTTATTTTGTTTTGTTTGGGGGCCATACCCAGCAATGTGCAGTGATTACTCCTGGCTCTCGAGGTGCTCAGGGGACCATGTGGGATGCTGGGGATTGAACGTGGGTTGGCCGTGAGCAAAGCAGGTGCCCTACCCATATACTATCACTCTGGCCCCTACAACCCCATTTTTAATAGAAAATTTTCTCAGTTAACTTTGGAATAATATGGATTATTCTTTGTATCCTTATACATGTAAAATATTTGCTTTGCATATTTAGAGTTAACTGTTAACCACTACAGATAGATACTGGTTTAGGTGCTTGAGTTCATATCCTCTCTCTGCAAAGATGAGCACTAAGATTTGGCATGAAAGGTCAGTAAAATAAAGCTGTGTGTTAAGTGGTAGGAGAGAGAAGATGGAGGGTCTGACTAACCACCTCTACAAATCAAGAAACACAGAAAAAGGGACTGGATTTGGAAGAATGAGGAAGTTTTCCTAGGTGCCACCTTTTAGAAGCTTTAAGTTTTAAAAACCGACAACAGCAAGTACTGGTGAGTTTTACAAGTCTTCATTGCTGTCAGAATACAAAATAGTTAATTTACTTTCCAAAACAGTTTGGTGTGTTTTTGGAATATTATTGAAAACTATTACTAATAGTGTTGATAATCACAGTGCCTAAGTAAAAATTTAAAAAACAATTTGGCAATGTCTTAAAGTATTAAACATGCATGCATGGCCCAGCAATCTCACTCTTGTTACTTGCCAAAGAGAAATGAAAATATACCTGATTAATAACTTTTGAAGCAGTTTTCTTTATTACCACCCAAAATTTTAAAAATTCCAGTATTTATTACTTTATGATAATACATTAATTGTGGTATATCCTTACAATGAATTATTATTACTCAGCAAGAAACTAGTGAAATATACATGTATGAATCTCAAATCATATGCTAGTGAAAGAAAACTTTAGATTACATTTTTATTATAATCATAACTCCTGACACTTAAATTTTTTTATATATGTTCCTTTTTATTTACATTTTGTTATGTAGGTGCTCTATTTATAATACTTTCAATAATCAAGTAGATATTTTTTATATGACAACTGAAAGCAGCTCAGTGGTTGCAGGGGCAGGAAATGGGTCTAAGGGTTTTTGAATAGCATCTTGTTGTTCAAATACATTACGATTTGGATAACTCACAATATCACAGGGTATCTAGGTATTCTGGTAGGTATAAGGGCATGTCATTGCAGTTTTTCTTTGCATTTCTTTAACTCTTTTCTTGTGCTTATTAGATGTTCTTTTTTTTGGAGGGGGGGTGGTCAGACCTGGCTTTGCACTCAGGAATTTTCCCTGGCGGTGCTCAGGGGACCTTATGGGATGCCAGGAATCGAACCCAGGTCAGCCACGTGCAAGGCAAACGCCCCACCCGCTGTACTATCACTCCAGCCCCTAGATATTCTTATATCTCCTTATATTACCCATTTAGTTTCTGCCTATTTTTGAAATTGTTACTTTTATGTATGTCACTTATTATAGGGGTTTTTTTTTGTTCCCTCTTTTATTTTTATTTTTTTGTCATCCTGAGATCAAATTCAGTGCCACATACATACTAGATAAGTGCTCTTCTGCTGAGTTACATTCCTGGACCACAAGAATTCTTTATATACTCTGGATATATTATTAAGTATAAGTATTGCTAATACTTTTACTCTGAATTTTTGATACTTTTAACTTTATTGGGGTGGTTCTCAGGGATCACTCCTGGCCGTATGTAGCGCTGGGGATCAAACCTGGTTCAGCCACATATCAGGCAAGCACTCTACCTGCTATACTAACACCATCTCTCCTGCTCAGAAGTTTTCAATTTTGATGGAATTCAAGGTATCAATTTTGTTTTTCTTCTTTGATTGCTAATACAAGTTTTACATCTGATTGTAGGAAGAGGGTTTGATGATTTGACTTCAGTCTACCTTGCCCGGCATACTCCTACAGGAACGCTCGTGACTGTCAAAATTACAAATCTAGAAAACTGCTCAGAAGAACGCCTAAAAGCTTTACAGGTGACAATTTATAAAGATGCATTAAAAGTAATGTTCGTGTGAGAGTGTGTTTGTAAGAATTTTTTCCACAAATCAGTGTAATGGTTCTGTATCTTAGAGAAAGGTAGATCAAAATATCATGCAATTATAGAACTAGAAAGAATACTTGGAAGTCAGATCTAAGGAAGAAAAAATGTATATTCAAAGACAGACGAGATAGTCTAGTAGGTAGGGCACTTGTCTAGCCTGTGATTGATCAGAGTCTGATCCCTGTATCACCTATCTGTCATTCCACATGCACTTCCAGAGAGATTGTGAGCACGGAACCAAGAGTAAGACCTGAGCAGTGTCAGACATGGTCCAAAATCCAAACCAAATGAAATAGAACAAATGTAATTCAAACTTCGGTAACTATTCATTCTTCTGAATGAATATCATATTCAAAATTCATATCGGCAGATTTATAGCAGCCTTAGACTATTCAATCATAAATAGTCATAGGGAGTAGAAAAAACAAAAGCAGTTTGTTTTTTCATTCAGTTAGCACTGTAGCACTGTCACGGTAGCACTGTCCTCCCGTTGTTCTTCCATTTGCTCGAGCGGGTACAACAACTATCTCCATTGTGAGGCTTGTTGTTACTGTTTTTGGCATATCGAATACGCCACGGGTAGCTTGGCAGGCTCTGCTGTGTGGGTGGGATACTCTTGGTAGCTTGTCGGGCTCTCCGAGAGGGACAGAGGAATCGAACCCGGGTCAGCCATGTGCAAGGCAAATGCCCTACTTGCTGTGCTATCAATTCATTCAGTTAAATAAAATTAATTTCTTAATTGAGAAATTGTAACAAAATTGCATTTTAATGAATATTATTATAATATAATTTTTATTGTCATTAATTATTAAAACATTTTTTACGTAACAATGAAATATAACATGATGGAAGTTCCGGTGTGTGTCTTTGAAAATCAATATGTGTGTCCACTTTGTCTCAGTTTATCCCCCAATCCTTTCCTTCTGGTAGTCACCAATAGTCTTAGAGTTTAAAAATTTATTTTTTGGTTTATTTTATTCATCTTTTTTCTCTCTGTTACCATGTATGATTGTTTGTCTTTTTCTATCTGCTTATTTCAGTAAGCATGATTCTAGCTCCATCCATGTTGCAAAGAATAGGATTTCCATTTTTTATTTTAATAGCTAAATAGTATTTCATAGTGCATTTAAGCCAAATTTTTGTCAAAGGACACTTAGGTTATTTCAAATTCTTGGCTATTATAAATAATGTGGCAGTACACATGGAACTGTTTATATTTTTTTGAATTCATTGTTTAAATTTTTTGATAATATAGCCGAAATGGGATAACTGAGTTTTACATAAATTCTAATTTTTTGAGAAATCTCCAATTCTGCTTTTGTAATAGTTGCACCAGTTTTTAGCTCCATCATTGTATAAGGGTCCCTTCTCTCCGCATCTTCTCCAATACTTATTTCTTATCTTTGAGCTAATAGCCATTTTCACAGGTGTGAGGTGATATTTGCATTTCCCTGAAAATAAGTGTGAACAAAAATCTTTTCATGGACATTACAAAGTCCACTTTGGAAGAATATATATTCAGATTTTTTGGTACATTCTTCAGTTGGTTGATTTAAATTGTTGGATTTTACCATGAGTCCTTGTATATTTTTGATATTTATCCTTAACAGATTACGATATGAAATACCTTCTTCCATTCAGTTGGGGATGTCTTTTCCATTTGATAATAGTATCTTTTGTTGTACAAACACTCTGTAGTTTAATGTAGTTCCACTTACTTTTGCTTTTGTCTCCCTTATCATTGGAATTGACTTCCAGAACACATTGTTTCAGGCTGGTGTCAAGGAGCCTGGTGGCAGGCTCAGGAGACCATATGGGGTGCTGGGGATTGAACCTGGGTCAGCACGTGGAAGGCAAACACCCCACCCACTGTAATATCGCTCCAGCTTCGAATTTACTACTATTTTGAAAAGTAGTGAGAGTGGACATCTTGTAGGGAAAACGTTTAGTTCTTCACATGTGTTTTCTTTGATATATTTGATATTTTCAGGCCCCATGTCCAAATCTGTAGTCCATCTTGAGCATTACCATTATCACCATTTTTTCCCCCTCAGAAGTATTTTTGCAATACAAGTTCTTTTGTAGTTCCTGATATATTTCATTATTTTGGGGGCTAGATGGATAGTACAGCAGATAAGGTGCTTGCTTTGCATGCAGCTGAGCTGGGTTTGGTCCCTGGCATCCCATATAATCCCCTGAGCACCACCAGGAGTGACTTAGAGCCAGGAGTAACACATGAGCATTGCCAGGTGTCTTCCATCAAAAACAAAAAAAAGGAATTAAAAAATAATAAATTTATTGTTTTTGTTCTATTTTTATGAGAATAAAATTGGGATTTTGATAGGATTTTTTGAATCTGTACATTCAGCTATTTTAATGATGTTAATTCTTTTAATTCATGAGAAAAAAATTTTCATCTCTTTGTACCTTGTGTTTCATTGAAAAATGTCTAGTAGTTGATCATGTACAACTGTTATTTTACTTCCCTGGCTAAATTTATTCTAGATATTTAGTTCTTCTTGATGAGATTGTAAATGAGATTGTTTTTCTTTAATTGTCTTTCTGCTAGTTATTTACATATAGAAATGGATGATATTTTATTCTGTAGCTTACGGACTTTGTAGCCTGCCTTTTTACTATTTCAAGTGGTCCTTTAATAGGATCTTTGATACATTTATGTATAATATAGCCATCAGCAAATAATGTCAATTTTTTTACTTCTTTCCTATATGGAATTTTTTTTTATCCTTTTATCATATAATTCCTCTAGCTGTAATTTACTATTTGGTTTTGGTTTTGGGGCCACATCCAACAGTGCTCAGGGCTTATTCCTGGCTTTACAGTCAGGGATCACTCCTGGCAGGCTCAGGAGACCATATGGGGTGCTGGGGATTGAACCTGGGTCAGCACGTGGAAGGCAAACACCCCACCCACTGTAATATCGCTCCAGCTTCGAATTTACTACTATTTTGAAAAGTAGTGAGAGTGGACATCTTGTAGGGAAAACGTTTAGTTCTTCACATTGAGTGTGCTGTTTGGTGTGAGTCTATGATGTATGGCTTTTATTATGTTGAAATACATTCTTTCTATACACATTTCATTAAGGGCTTTTAATCATGAAAAAGATACTGAATCATGTCAAATGTTTTTTCTTTTTCTACTGAGATAATATTTTTTTGTCCCCTTATGATGATGTGGTTTATCATGCTTTTCAAGTTGCACCATATTGAACCATCCCTGGAGGGAAAAAAAAATCTTTTTTTATTATTTTTTTGCCTTTTTGGGTCACAACTGGTGATGCTCAGGGGTTACTCCTGGTTCTTCACTCAGGAATCACTCCTGGTGGTGCTTTGGGGACCACGTGGGATGCTGGGAATTGAACCCATGTTGACCGCATGCAAGGCAAATGTCCTACCTGCTGAAATATTGCTCCAGCCCCAAATCTCATTTTACTATTATTTTTTTATCTGTCTCATTAAATTCTGCACTAATGTTTATTATTTTATTTCATTTTCTGATTTTTGTTTTTTTCACTGATCATTTTCTATTTAAAAAAGGGAAGAATTTTGTTTTGATATTGTCCAAACTGTTAAAATATTTTTATGTGTGTATGTGCATTGCATGGGCTGGAGCGATAGCACAGCAGGTAGGGCATTTGCCTTGCACGCAGCTGAACCGGGTTCGATTCCTCTACCCCTCTTGGAGAGCCTGGCAAGCTACCGAGAGTATTCCGCCTGCATGGCAAAGCCTGGCAAGCTACCTGTGACATATTCGATATGCCAAAAACAATAACAAGAAGTCTCACAATGGAGACGTTACTGGTGCCTGCTTGAGCAAATCGATGAAGAACAGGAGGATAGTGCTATGTACATTGCACAGAAAAAATTTTAAAAAATTAACCGGTATGTTCGTAGTGATTTTTTTCTGAGATATAGTGTTAAAGTGGTGTTTATTTTCACTTTTCACTTTTATTTATTTTCTTAAATAAATAAAATAGTTATTAAGAAAATAGTTATTGGGGCTGGAGCAATAGCACAGTGGGTAGGGCGTTTGCCTTGCACGTGGCCAACCCGGGTTTGATTCCCAGCATCCCATATGGTCCCCTGAGCACCGCCAGGAGTAACTCCTGAGTGCAGAGCCAGGAGTAACCCCTGAGCATTGCCAGGTGTGAACCAAAAAGCAAAAAAAAAAAAAAAAAAGAAAATAGTTAATAAGGGTATGGCTCATGAAGTCAGATGTGTTTTAAGTTCACATTCTACTTCAACTTATTTACTTAAACTTTTCTTTATTTAATGGGCTGGACCACACCAACAGCTCAAGGGCTGTTTCTTGCTTTGTGCTTAGGAGTCGCCCCTGGTGCGAGGGATCAGCAAGGGCTCAGCTGCATGCAAGTGTTACCTCTTCTACTCTCTCTCCAGCCCTCAGTTCTTTATTAAGTATGTGGTCTTGGACAAGATTTGTAACTGTCCTGTAAAGTGGGAACCATGATGTATCACATTCAGTGTAGTGGTTGTAAGAGCTAAAGAGATTATGTTCGCACTAAGTGCTTAGTACTCAGAAGTCGCATTGACTATTACCTGTCTCTCCTGCTGTTACTTTCTTCTTAAGGAAAAATAAGATTGATTTTAAGTGTGTTGTCTTTTGCATGTCTGTCCTAGAAAGCAGTGATTCTATCTCACTTTTTCCGGCACCCCAATATTACAACTTATTGGACCGTTTTCACTGTTCGCAGCTGGCTTTGGGTTATTTCTCCATTTATGGCCTATGGTAAGAAAGCTCATTTTAGCTAAAACAGTTTATTTAGCCTGGATGTCATGAGAAGGAAATTTAGATTTATGAATCACTAGTTTCAATTTTATTCATAAAATATATGAACATAAAATTATATACGAATATAAAAATATATATGAATATAATATTCGTATATAAAATATATACAAATTTTATTTATAAAATATATACGAATACCAACTCAGGATTTTGTGAGACAGTTCTGTGTTTGTTTCATGTTAAATTTTAGTCTGCAGTAAAAGTAGAATGGGTGTGGTCCTGCAAACCACCCCCACTGCTTCTCCAGGAAGGCCACGCGTGTGTATGAGCTGGCTTTCCTTTTCCTTCCTCTCCCTCTGGGAGCAGCTGCTATTACTTTCAGGTGGGTGTGGGTTTCCCACCTGTGCACACCATCCCTCTCCCTGCTTCAGAGCAGTGTAAACTTCCTTCAGTGCCCTGAAAATGCACGTGTGTTCCTGTCCATCAAGGATATGTGCCTTTTAAGGAAGGGATGTGTGTGTAGTTTTCATTTTGCTATCCCTGGTGCTCACATAGTTCTTAGGACAAAGCACTGGTCAATAGAAATATTGAATAGATAATTGGGTTCTTTTATTTTTAGGAGATATTTTGTGAATTACCTTTGGGTTAAAGTATATACATATATATGCATATGTAAACACAGATGTAATTTTTCCAATAATATTGAAAATGGTTCTGTCTTCCTATTACATAAAATGATGTCATTTAAAAGAAGTTGTTTTGCAGGGGCTAGGAAGACTGGTCAGTGTTTAGAACTAGCCACAAGTGTATGTGGGCTGAGGGTAGATAAGATAGAGAAGAGACCATTATGACAATAATAGCAGGGAATGATCATGCTGGACAGAATCTGAGTGTTAAAAGTAGGTAAAGGGATATTCTTGATAACCTTTCAGTATCAATATTGCAAACCACAATGCCTAAAAGGAGGGTGGTGGGGAAGAGCGCTCCTACCATAGAGACAGGCAGCAGGTGGGGAGTGATGATAGGAAGCTTGGGGAATATACACTGGTGGAGGGATGGGTGTTGGAATATTGTATGGTGGAAATCTAAAGAACAGCTTTGTAAGGGTCTATGTCACAGTGATTCAATAAAAAGCTAAAAATAAATAATAAAAGAAATTGTTTTGTTTTTTAATTCTTGAATTTTGTGTAGATTGTCTATGCATAGGAAAGTTTCCTGATTAGACTTCAGAAGTGACAGATGTGTTAAATATGTGCATGTTTACATCTGTTTATAAATGAAGGGTTCATTTAAGACGAAAGTAGGAGCAAAATTGCTCCCAATATTTAAAGTTTTCAGGGGTTTCTTTCAGGTTCAGCCAGTCAGCTCTTGAAGAGGTACTTTCCTGATGGAATGACTGAAACTTTAATAAGAAGCATCCTCTTTGGAGCAGTGAAAGGGTTAAACTATCTGCACCAGAATGGCTGTATTCACAGGTATTCATTCATATTTTTCAAAATGAAAGAATTTCAGTGGAAAAAATCTTTTGGAAGCTTTAGGACAGAGCAGTTGTGTATTGGAAAGGGGGGAATATGAAACTTATCAATGTAATTTGAGGAATGCAAGGCAAATAACTACATTCGAGGGAAGCAAGGCAAATAACTACAGAAAATGGTTACATTTAATGTTCATTTATCAAAGAAATTCAGACCTCTTCTGTATAAATCCTATATTGGGTACCAGGGTGGAGGGTTGACCTCAATGTCCTAGCAAAGTATTTAGTATAAGAACAGGTCTGGTTCAAGGTAGAAACTATAAGGGGTGTGGTCCTAGTTAAATTTTCTTTTCTTTACTCTTTTTGTTTTCTTTTCTTTTCTTTTTTAAGAGCCTCTTAATGTACTTCTTTTCATATTTATGTAATATTTATACTGTGTACAAATTATAGCTAAATCTTTCTTTGATTTCTTCATTGCAGCACCTTGAAATTCTGTCAATCCTGTTACCAAAATGTAGATGCAAAAGAAACTGAATATTTAATAAACAGTGTACCCTTCTAAAACACATGGGGACTTTATTTTACTTTTTAATTAAGTTACTTTTAAAAAGAAGCTTGTTTCAACCTTCTTAATGCTTTCTTATCTTAATATTTTTATATTTAATAAGCTTTCTCCTTAGCTGAGGAACTCTAGCAGATTCTCTTCATTCTGTTTATCTGGTTCTCCTATGCTTTTCCTGACTACTAATCATTCTGCTGTACCAGTTTCCAAATTCAGGATTTTAGATGAAAAGTGAGGCTCTCTTCAGATTTCTGTGACAACAGAACTAAAAGAAGTTTCTCTGTAAAAAAATACTGTTGTAAATGATGAGTTATGCCATTATAGACTTTCTGGATAATATTGCATTTAGCTTTAAATAATTCTTTTATTAAAGCTTCCAATATTTGTGTTTTTAAATTTACCCTTAAATTTTCATTTAATTTACTCTTTAACTGGGTCTTTTGCAGTAGCCTTCTAAAATGCTGATTAATCATTTAACTCCGTACCTAGTTTGGAAAAAATGCTATCATTCTCAAATATGTAGATTTCAACAATGTTCTCTCTAGTTCTATTGCTTTATTAAAAACTAGCTGAAAGGATTTCTTAGTTCTTGAACATTTTCTACATATATGTGGATATATGTTGGATACATGTCCATATATACAGCAGTCTTTTGCTACTTTAAAAGGAGCATTTTATTTCCAAGAGACTACATGGATTTGTTTTGACCAGATTTTTGTTATTTCTTTCCTTGGCCAATTTCCTAGTATTTAGGATTGTTTCTTTTTGTTCTAGGAGTATTAAAGCAAGCCATATCCTCATTTCTGGTGATGGCCTAGTGACCCTCTCTGGCCTGTCCCATCTTCATAGTTTGGTTAAGGATGGACAGAGGCATAGGGCTGTGTATGATTTCCCACAGTTCAGCACATCAGTGCAGCCGTGGCTGAGTCCAGAACTACTGAGACAGGTCAGGTGTGGCCTTTGCATTGGGATTGTCTGTGCGTCTCGAGTGTCTTCTGAGTTTGCCTAAAGGAGTTTTGTGCCCTTATATTTGAATTGGTAAATGGCCTCCTTTAAGGTTTCTTTCTCTTTCGTGTCAAAATTATCATGTTAGGAATATTAAAACTTACATTGTGTATCAGGTAATCTTGATTTCTCATTTAGGTTTTTTTCATTCACCATCCTTTATCAAAAAAGCACATGTGTGTAACTTTTTATTAAATTATTTACACTGAAACACTTCAAATTTATTTCCCTACAGGATTTGCATGGATATAACGTAAAGTCAGATATTTACAGTGTTGGAATTACAGCATGTGAATTGGCTAGTGGACAGGTCCCTTTCCAGGACATGGAGAGGACGCAGGTAAATGCTGCTAAAATTCTGAAACACTTCCCTAAAAGCTCCTTTGGTCTAGATAATTCTTGTTAAGTATATTTGCCATGAACTCTTAGAATCTTTATCATTGTTCTTTTAATATTTTCCCCTGAAAAATGTTAAAAAATATTTTTTTTTAGATGCTGTTACAGAAACTGAAAGGTCCCCCTTATAGCCCACTGGATGCCAGTATTTTCCCTCAGTCAGAATCTAGAATGAAAAGTTCCCGATCGGGTGGCGACTCTGGAATTGGAGAAAGTGTTCTTGTCTCCGGGGGAACTCGCACAATAAATAGCGACAGATTACAAACCCCAGCCGCAAGAACTTTCTCTCCTGCCTTCTTTAGCTTAGTACAGCTCTGTTTGCAACAAGATCCTGAAAAAAGGTAATAGTGGTCTCTTCTACACTGCATAAACATATTGTATGTGTTTTATATTTTATAGAAGGTTTTTCATATTTCCTTCCTGCCAAAATTTTTTATCAGGCCAAAGAGATAGTACAGGGGTTAAGGCACTTCATGCACCCAATCTCAGTTTGATCCCCAGCACCACATATGGTCCCCCGTGGACCAGTAGGAGTGATCCCTGAGCACAAAGCCAGGAGTAAGCCCTGAGCACTTCCCAGTGGGCCAGTGGATAGAAAATCTCTTATCTGTGTCTTAAAGCAAAAAACTAATCCAGAAAAGATCAATGCTAAAAACAGGTAGAAGCAGTAAGGAAATGGGAAATGAGAATGTTGGATTCAAAGCTAGAAAAACTTCAACTCCTAACTCAGCAGTATCATTTCCTTTGTCTGTTGTGAATTTCATTCACTCTTTCCACACAGTAATCATTACATATAGTTTAAAAAAGTTTAGGAACTTCTGAGAAATACAAAAGGGTTAGTTTTTTTAAACTGCTATTTTATCATTGATAACTATGTGTATTATTTATTTAAACTCCAGCATAACTCTTCGTAATTTGTAAGTGTCCAATAAATGAAAGAAGGGTACTTTTAGAATACTTCTGATTAGTCAAGGTTGAAATGAAGAATTTGACTCCCTCGTATTATTCTTTCTTTTATTTTTTCAGTATTGGATTTTATAGCTCTGAATAATTTTCTAACATATTTGCACTTAAAAGTCTGCAGTCTGTGAAATTCTGATTTTTAATAACTTTTAAAAACAATTTCAGGCCATCGGCAAGCAGCTTATTGTCCCATGTTTTCTTCAAACAGGTAAGCTGATCTGTCTTCTGTTATCTAAATGTTTTTAAAATACTCTTAAGAAATCACTTTGGGGGCTGGGTAGATAGCACAGCGGCCTGTGCTTGGGACCCTGGTTTGATTTATGTCCCTGACTGCCCTTTCCCCACACCCCCAGCATCATGTAGCTCTGGAGGCCCCGGAGCATCGCTGAGCGTGGCCCAGGTGGAGCTCGAGCAGCACGGCATTCCCTGGTCCTACCACTGCACTGTGTGGCCTGACTAGCCAAGTGTCACCAGGAAGAGCCTGCCTGAGAGCACTCCTACCCCCTTGGAAAATGTCACCTAATGTTTGCTAAATAGGATAGTTTGGTTATCAAGTTTCCTGATAATTTTCTTGCAAGCATGAAATCTCTTTTTGGTGGTTCAATAATAGATTCTCTGAAATACTCCTATTTTTGCAAAGCAAAACAAGTAAAAACAGAATATTATCATGGGATATTACATCCCCAGTTTATATTTTAACTAATTTAGAGACATTTGGCTAGAAATGATGAAAGGATAAAACAGTTGTGATAAAAATCAGTTGATTTTGCTATGACTTAATATTTTCAGATAACTAGAATGAACCAAAGGGAGTGTTAGTGAAAATACCTAAACACATTTTAAGTAATTTTTGGGGGGAGTCACATCCGGCGATGCACAGGGGTTACTCCTGGCTCAGGAATTACTCCAGGCGGTGCTCGGGGACTATATGGGATGCTGGGAATTGAACCCGGGTCGGCCACGTGCAAGGCAAATGCCCTACCTGCTGTGCTACTCCTCCAGCCTCTAACACAAATTATTTCAAAATGATTTTTTGCTAACAAAATTAGTATATTGAATATATGTACCAGAGGTCTTATTTTGAATTTCTTTAACAGATGAAAGATGAAAGTCCGGATTCAATTCTTTCTCTTTTGCCTCCTGCTAATCACAAGCCACCAGTAACTCTGCCTCCCGCAGCACCTTGGACTGAGCTGGAATGTGAATTTCGTGATGAAGAAAACACAGGCTGGGATTTTTAGGGCTGCCAAATCCTTTTATGTCCTATATACTTGACACATTTTTCCTGCTGCTTTTTCTTCTGTATTGCTAAAACTAAAAAACTAGAATTATACTTGAAAATACAGTTGGTGCACTGGAGAATCTACCATTAAAACCACTCTGTTCAAAAGAGCATGAGTTTATAAGCCTTTCGTTAGCTCAGAACACTATAACAACTCCAGGGAAACTTCAGAATTATTCATCTACGTGCATTTAATGTCGTTTATTCTCATTCTTTCCTGAAGCTGTGACTAACTCCTCTTCATGATCTTATAATGTAATTTTGAGCCAGTTAATTTTTCCATTTTTTTTTTTTTGGCCCTTAGGGGAACGAGCCTTCAGAGGACCGTGCTGCCAACTACATTTTTACTTCAGATTATGTAGCATTTTTGATCAGCTACTGTTAGACCAACAATTTAGATTATCCTGGCACCTTTTTTTGGTAGGAGGAAAATGTTTATATTTCTCCATGTTTTTCTGTTGATACTTATGGTAATATCAGACAAACTGAGCCTCACATTAAATCATTCACTTGAGATCTACAGAGAAGTTGTTATTTGCTTTTTTTAAAAAAGGGGGTTAAAATAACACTTTTCTATTAATGTAATTTATAGATACTAAATTCATGCACCCCGTGGGAGCTCAATAAAATTTATTGAAGTAAGTTTGCGCTTTCATTTTCTTTGTGTCACTGGACAAAGCTAAGACACAGATTCTGAATTGTTTTGCCAAAAAAAACCCTCTTGCTCAAACAGATTCAATTTACATAACTTCGTGAGTTGGGGAGTAGCAGTATCTGGTTCAATTGAGACAAATGCTGCCCTCCCCTTTATAGTGGCATTTCTCAACTGCAGACCATATTGCTGCTGTGGTTCCCCAGGATGTTGCAAGGGAAAAACAGAATAGTATGGGGGACAGGGGACAGGCCTGACATGTGGCTGACCCAGGTTCAGGTCTCAGCACTACGTGTCCTCCAGAGCATTGTTGGGTGGAGTCCTGGAGGCCTCAAGCACCACTTGGTATGGCCCACAAGGCCTGAGAATCATCTCATCTGCCAACACTTATACTGAACTGATGGTCTGATTGACCAAGAATCTCCTGAGCATCACTTGAGAACTCGCCATCAAACGGAGAACAATGTTCAATATGTAATTTGAACTGTGCTTGGGGGTCAGAAAGATAGTACAGTGGGCTGTACACTTGCCTTGCAAGCAGCCCACCTGCGGTTGAACCCTCATATCCCATATAGTCCACCAAGCACCAGTAGAAGTAATCCCTGAGCACAGTAAGCCCCAGATATGTACCCCACCATATCCAAAATAAATTGATCAATTGGGGCCTATTCTAATTAAATTTATTCATATTCACACCCCCTCATCAAAGAAATTTTGATTTGGGGGCCAGGGCATATCTACCAATACTGAGGAGCTAACTCCCAGCTCTGTGCTGTGGTGGAGGATCTGCCCTCCAACTCTGTGTGGGGACAATGTGGTGCTTGAGATTGAACTTGGGTCTTCCACATGAAAAACTTATTTTACATGTGCTCAACTCATGTAAAATTATTTCCAATCCTCAAAGATTATTTTTAAATGCCATTATCTCAGGCCAGAGAGAATACAGCAGAGCACTTGCCTTGCACATGGCCAACACAGGGTTTTATTCCTGGCACCCAAGTACTACCAGAAGGGATTCCTGAGTGCAGAGCCAGGAGTAACCCCTGAGCATTGCCAGTTGTTGCTCAAAAACCAAATAATAAAATAAGTAGGAATAATTTCTTTTAAAAAATCATTATCTTGGGGGGTATGGTGCCACCAGCAGGTCAGTCTGTACCTGTGAGGCGAGTGCATCAGCAGCCTGATGGCACCTTCAGACTTCCAGATATCCCCAAATGCTGCTGTGCCTTTGGCCAGACCCCAAAAACTTGGGGCAAAGTTTTCCAAGAAAGTAAACGGCCAAAAGTTAGGTATGTGGAAGACACACCCACAAACCACCTTCGTCTCAGCTATATAATTGGAGGCATGGCCTTTCTGGTTCCTGATCAGACTGCCTAACAGCCATGATCCCAGAGACTCAGAAACAAATCTCGAAACCCAATGGCTTTTGGCAGAAATTTGTCAGGTCCCTGCAGTAGATTACTGGCACCGGGCCCCCCCAGGTGGGAATAGATTTTGTGCCTTGGCCTGTTCCCCCTGGCAGCCCGGTGGCCGTCATCCTCCAGAGGCCACTAGGCAGTCAGGCTTGAACCCACAGTGACGAGACATGTGGGGCCTCATGAAATGGGGGTGAAGCCAGCCATTTCATCCCAGTCCCAACAAGACCCTGAGTCACTGCTTACAAACAGCCTCTTTGGCTCCTGATCAAGCTGCTTAATGCCATGATCCCAGAGACTCAGAAACAAATCTCGGAACCCAGGGGCTTTTGGCAGAAATGCATCCAGTCCCTGCAGTAGGTTACCAGCGATGGGCCATCCCAGGTGGGAATAGGTTTCATGCCTTGGCCTGTTCCCCCTGGCAGCCCAGTGGCCGCCATCCACCAAAGGCCATTGGACAGTCATGTTTGGGCCCGCAGTGACAAGACACGCAGGGCCTCATGGGATGGGAGTGGAGCCGGACCTTTCCTCCCAGTTTCAACGAGACCCTCAGTCGCCACTCACAAACGGCCTCTCTGGCTCCATATCAAGCCGCTTAATGGCCATGGTCCCAGAGACTCAAACAAATCTCCATGGGATGGGGATGGAGCTGGCCCTTTCCTCCCTGTCTCAACAAGACCCCAAGTCTTCGTCCACGAACAGCCTCTCTGGCTCCTGATCAAACTGCTTAACAGCCATGATCCCAAAGACTCAGGAACAAATATCGGAACCCAGCAGGTTTTGGCAAAAATCCCTCCAGATTCAGTTGTTAAAATTTCAGAATTTTAAAATCACGCAGCCACTACTGCAGCTGCACGACATCATATGTTATTCATAACCAGCAACAGAAAACAAATTGTCTACTGTTGCCTTTTCAGCAGATTTGAGTGTTGGGGTAAAATCCCAAATAATAATGGTGGGGTCTAGTGTCAAAATATTGAATGTGATCAAAGTAGAGAGAGAGTAATGTGGAGGTCATCTGCCCCACAGGTAGGGGGAGGGTGTGGGATGGGGATATACTGGGGTTTTGGGGGGTGGAGAATGGGCACTGGTGAAGGTACGGGTGTTTCATTGTATGACCAAGACTTAAACCTGAAGGCTTTGTAACTGCTCTCATGGTGATTCCATAAATAAAATTAGAAAAAATGAAAAAATAAATAGTAATGTGGAGTTCTTGCCCAATTCAATCAGCCTAATCAGTGACTGAATAAATAGCAGTACTCTTACTTAAAAAAAAATTATCTTAAGGTGAAAATATTAAAACCAATGTGACAAATGATACATAAAATAATAATTTGAAGCAAATTTTTAATATTTTTTTGGCCTTCCCTTCTCTCCACATGAGAACAAAGATTTAGGTTACTCTAAGTAAGCTTCCAAGATCTGCCAGGATGGAGGAAATAGAAAAGACAAGCAGTAGGTAAGGCCTTGGGATCACCTGTCATAGTGGGGCCTACATATAGTTCATTCCATTGACTTTGAGTTTCCCTTCAATAGGAGAGCCTCATAGAAACCATCCGCAGAGGAAGTTCTGCTAAATCTGTGTAGAGAGTTTGGATTGTTTACTTTCCCAATCCATGAGCACAGAATATCTTTTCATTTTGTCTTCTATTTACTTGAGTAATGTCTTATTGTTTTTCAGTGTATGTCTTTTACCTCATTTATTAGTTTTACTCTAAAAAAAAAAGATTTTATCTTTTGAGGTGCAATTCTTTGGTTTTTGCATTTCAATATACAAGTGGAAGGATAAGTTGATATTTTTATCCTTCCAATTTACTAAACTTTATTTATTTATTTATTTATTTATTTGCTTTTTGGGTCACACCCGGCAATGCACAGAGGTTACTCCTGGCTCTACACTCAGGAGTAATCCCTGGCGGTGCTCAGGGGACCATATGGGATGCTGGGAATCGAACCAGGGTCAGCCGCTTGCAAGGCAAATGTCCTACCCCACTGTGCTATTGCTCCAGCCCCACTTTACTAAACTTTTATGGAGTTTTTAGGGGGTTAAATGTATATTATTATTTGCAAATAGTGATTGTTTTGCTTCTTTTCCAATTTGTATTTTTAAAATTTTTTTCATGACCACTCTAGTACTTTTAAAAATATGCTGCAAAGTAATAGTGTGAGTGAATATCATTCATTGTTCCACATCTCAGAATAAAAGCTTTTAGGTTTTTGACAATACGAAGTTTACTGTGGGTTTATCATATATGGCCTTTTGAAGTGCTGAGGTATGCCCCTTATAGTCCCAACTTATTGAATTTATTCATCATTAAAAGATGTTGAATCATATAAAAAACTTTCCCAGTATTTATGTATATGATCATGTGATTTTATTGATGTGGGGGTACTACATTAATTGATTTGCATATACTGAATGGTCTTTACATCCCTGGCATGAATCCCACTTGATCATGATGTTCTCTTGATGTATTGTTTCATTCAATTTACCAAGATGTTGGCGAGGATTCTTGTACCTATGTTCATCAGAGATGTTAGCCTTCAGTTTTCGATAACTTGTGTGTGTTTATGTATATATATATATATATGTATATGTGTGTGTGTGTGTGTGTGCACTTTTTGGATGTCAGATGAGTGTGTACACTCTCCTCTTTGGATATCAGAGTTGTATATGCCTTATATAAATGTTCTTTGTATTGTTCCTCCAAATGTTTGCAATAATTGGGCATGATTGGTATAAATTCTTCTTTGAAAGATTTTTAACTATTTGCTAGCATTTATTCAAAGGGCACTAAAATAATGAGTTTAAAAGGTATTTATATCCCTGTACATAGCAGCATTATTCACAATAATCAAACTATGATATAAAATGAAATGCCTGTTAACAGATCACCGGATAAAGAAACTTTGGTGCATGTGCCAATTAATCAGATGAAATTATGCCATTTGGAACAACAACAAAATGAATGGAACTTGAGGTCGTTTTGCTAAGTGAAATAAGGAATTAAAAAAAAAAGAAGGAAGGAATTGAAAGATACTTCTTGGATTAATTCATAAGTGGAATATAAAGAACTAAATCAAAAGACCTGACAACCCGACCAAACTAATCAGACTCAATGAAACAGTGGTTTTTACTGGAGAAAAAATGGTATGTGCAGAAAGAACCAGTGGAGGGGCCTTTTTGGTTATAGGATGACAACTGTAACTTGGTGATAGTGTGGTGAATCCTTACATATATGAGGCAAAAGGGGCTTGAGATTTCCATCTACTAAACATTTCCTTCCATATTGCAAGCTTGATAAGAGTTTTCCTCTGTTACACTGTTTATCAGTTTTCCTATTAGTTCTCAAGTCCATTTTTCACCTTTTCTGTGCCTGCTTTATGAGGATTTAGATTTCCCATGCACCCTCACTTTCTTATCTCCAGGGAGACAACAAGTAAAGGTCAGGATGAAGGAAAAGAATATAGCATTTCCCATCTTTTCTCCTTTTTCTTGGAGTATCCCTGGCACTCCAAGTCTTTGTCTTCTGGCATAATGTGCCAGGTAATATCACTTCTTCCTGTTGTTCCTTCCATCTGAGTGGGGTAATACTAATTGCTCTTACTAATCTTAGGAATGCCTTACCATCAATTTTGAATTCTTCACCTTGGTTTCATATATAATGAAATTCCTGTGTTCCAGCTACTTGAAGCCTGAGTTTGTTTGTTTGTTTTTTGGGGAGGGGGGTTTTTGTTTGTTTTTAGCAGTTATACTCAGTGACACAGAAAGTACTTACACCTTTAAGGATTGTAAGAAATTTATAGTCTCAAACGAAAGAAGTAGAAGCTTAACTATCCTGAGCTCTGTCCCTGACACCCAGTATGGTACCCTGCACCCACCAGGTATGATCCCTGAGTGCAGCACAAAGAATAAGCCCTAAATTCCAAATAATAATGTTGGGATTGGTGTCAAAATATTGAATGTAATGTAAGTATAGAGAGAGTAATGTGGAAATTACTTGCCACACAGGTAGGGGTGGGGTGGGAGGCGGGGTATACTGGGGTTATTGTTGTTGGGAAATGTGCACTAGTGAAGGGTGGGGTGTTTGATCATTGTATGACCGAGACTCAAACATGAAAGCTTTGTAACTGTTCTCACGGTGATTCAATAAAGAAATTTAAAAAAGAAAGGAGTAATCCCTGAGCATCGCCAGGAGTGCCCCTTCACCCCTACCAAAGAGGTAGTAATTTGATTATACCAGAATGGTCGGAATTAGCTTTCCTTTGGCTTATGTTTTTGAGTCATCCAGTTGTGCTCAGTGCTTACTCCTGGCTCTGGATTCAGGGATCACTCCTGGTAGGGCTCTGGGAACCACAGGAGATGCTGGGAATCAGACCAAAGTCAGCTGCCTGCAAGGCAAGGGTCCTACCTCCTGTATTATAGCTCCAGCCCTCCAGCTCATTCTTACATTTGTGATTTATGACCCAAAAAGATGAAACTGGCAAAAATTTTATAAATTGACTATTTTCTCAGGATTGAACCAATTTTGAGGGGAAGGGGGTCACACTCGGCGATGCACAGGGGCTCTGCACTCAGGAATTAACTCCTGGCGGTGCTTGAGGGACCATATGGGATGCACTGGCCTTGCATGTGGCTGATTGGAGTCTAATCCCTGGCACCATATGATATGCATATGGTTTCCTGAACCTCACCAGAAGTGATCCCGGAGCATAGTCAGATGCAGCCAAAACAACAACAAAAAAAGATGGTTTATCGGGGCTGGAGTGATAGCACAGCAGGTAGGGTGTTTTCCTTGCATGCAGTCAACCCGGGTTCAAGTCCCCTGAGCACTGCCAGAAGTAATTCCTGAGTGCATGAGCCAGGAGTACCCCCTGCCTGTGCATCGCCGGGTGTGACCCAAAAAGCAAAAACAAACAAACAAAAAAGATGATTTATCTATTCTGGCATATCCAGAATAGATAGGCAACTCTGTCACCAGGAAATAGTGTGCTACTGCTTCAGCCACAGCTAAGCTGGTTGTTAGGTGGAGATAGGGAGAGCCTGCTAAGGGATACAGATTTTTTTTTTTTTCAGATGGGAGGGGAGTGGAGCGTGATGAAAATGCTCTAAAACTATGGTGATACACATTTCTGTGAATATACTAGAAAACTAAAAATTGCATGGGAGGACCGGAGAGATGGTACTGCAGGTAAGGAACCTTGTATGTGGTTGACTTGGGTTCCATTCCTCACACACGATATGATCCCTGCAAGTGATCTCTGAGTGCAGAACTGAAATATGCCCTGAGTACAGCTTGGTATGGCTTTAAAATAGTCAAGACAAAACAAAACCTGTATATGCAGTATACTTCTAGAACATAATAAAGATTTGGGAAATCAAAGATCTATCAATAAGTGTGATATTGTTATAGTGAAAAGGGAAAAATTTGTGGGAGAGGAAACTTTTCTAATATGAGATAAGTATGTATTTCTGGATTTGTTCCCTAATGCTCATAAATAAAAATGCACTTGTACATCAAAGTATTTCTCTTTCAATTTAATGAAAACAAAATGGTTCTAACAGGATGAAATCTGGTTGCTGATTTCTATCACACAAAATAATAGATTGATAAACCATTTTGCTAATTGGAGAAATGATATTATAAAAGTTGTTTGTTGTTTTAGCATATAAGTACTATGTTGTTTTAGCATTTATATGACATCACAGAAGAGCAAACACCTTTTAACATTCTCTTCTAATTTTTTTTTGCTGTATTTTATGGTTTTCATAATCTGGGGCTAAATCATTCATTTGAAATGAGCCTGTTGAACTCATTCGAGAATATGTACGTCTTCCAGCATAGCTGTCTCGTCTTTTGTTCATCTCTGGGGCAGTAAATGGTCTTCCAGAGTGTTTCAAATGATGCCGGTTGTCCTCTGGGCCCTTGCCTAGTAGTCTTGCTCTTGGTTTCGCTTTTTCAAAATGCTGAAATGCGTTCTCGGGTAGTTCCTCAAATCGATCAGAACAATCCTAATTATTAAAATAAAAGACCAGGTGGTGTGTTAGGTGTCTTGGACATCCAATTCCAATTTACAAGAACTAACGTTAAGCAGTTAAAAACTAAAAAGAATGAGAAAACAAACATTTTATAGGCAATTCCCAAATTCAGACTCTCCTTAATGCCTTTGGAACTACCGTTTCAACAATGAAAACAAAGAACATGAGAACTGGTATTCAGTAGAAAACATGCCACTTAAGGGGTTGGGGGATAGGACAGAAAGGAGAAATATCCATGGTGGAGGAAAGCATTCAACTGGGAAGAGGTGGTGGTGCTGAAAGTGGTAACGTATTATTATGTATAAAACCTTATCAGTCACAGTACTGTAAACCACAGTGTCAGTAGGAGCCTCTTTTAGAAGCAGACTGATGGGTGGAAAGCAAATGGGATAGGGAGCACTGCTGGAGGGGAGTGAACACTGGTAAAGTGATTGGTGAGGAAACCCAATCATGAATAACTGTAATTGCACATTTTTAAAAAATGAATTTTAAAAGAAAAATACCAAAAATCTTGTTTTCAAAACTCTTATTTAAAATGCTATTTTCAAAATTGTGTCGGGGGCTGGAGCGATAGCACAGTGGGTAGGGCGTTCGCCTTGCATGCAGCCAACCTGGGTTCGATTCCCAGCATCCCATATGGTCCCCTGAACACTGCCAGGAGTAATTCCTGAATACAAAGCCAGGAGTAACCTCTGAGCATCGCTGGGGTGACCCAAAAAGCAAAAAAAAAAAAAAAGTGAAAATTTATAAAGCTGGAAACCAGAGAAATCTTCAGGATCTATTCTCTGAGGTTATACCACAAACAAGGTAGTGGTGAAATTTTTCCAAAATATATTCTTCCCTAATATGAATTATATAATTCCCTAATATAAATAAGTTATTCCCAAATATAAATTATTAATGCATAAATTTCACGTATATCATCCAAGCTTTAATAGTTAACATGTCTAGCAAAAAGAGTTAACATTTAAGATTATTATTATTATGTATATATTAGATAGTAAAGTTTTTGTGTACTTTGTGAGAGTAAAAAAGACCATTCAGGAAAATAACTGAAAAGCTATACACCAAAATAATAATTTTTTTAAAATGCAGTCATATTGGACAGGGCTTTTTACCCAAAATTTTATATGTATATGACTATGTATTTCCTGTTTAATATATCTATGCTTACAAAAGCATTAAAAAATTTTTTGAGATAAATTTACCAATTTAATTATATTTAAATGACAAATGTTAGTGCATGACTCAATGGCATTAACATGATGTCCTATTATTACTCACTATGTTTTATTTAAAAACATGATAATATGCAGGGCTGGGGATGTAGCTCACTTGCCTTGCGTGTGTGAGGTCCTAGATTTGATTCCCTGCACTGCAAAAAAACAAAAACAAAGCCTAAAAACATGATAATCTATAGGTAGCACTAAGAATAACTCATTCTCAAAATAATGTAAATTATATCCCTTTGCAATTTGAGCAGCCTGTCCCTTAACTCTTTGCAGAGATGGTCACACCAGTGAAATGGGCTGTTTTGATGTGAAGACGTGGTGGTAATGGATTAATAGAACTGGAAGTTTGGGGTGGTGTGGGAGGTAAGAGAGGACTTGAAAAAATTAGATGGCCAGAAAGAAATTTACAAGGAACCTTGAAGAGTCAAAAGAAAAAATCTGATTTTACTATTCTTTCTAGGGTTTACAGAGGGCAAAGAAACATTCTTTCCTCATATGTGTGTAAACAATTATGTAAGTCACTTATTAGGGGAGTTTTGACTTCATATGCTGTCATATGTAAGTCATAACTGTAAAGTATGTATATTTGCTTCGTAGTTAATAAATTACTGGTGTGCCAGTGGAAAAGTATGGAAATGCATATCACTGGTTATTTTCTGAATGTTCCTACAGCTCTCAGTCTTCTGATTTCTGATGACCTGATCAATGCTCTCTTACTATTCAACTATGTTAACTTCACTAGAGAGAAAAAAAACAGTGGTTTTTAATAAAGATAAACAATGACTACCTCTCTAGGCCATTCTTAGAAGGACTCTGAGATCTCTTATGATCTCATGTCCTCTAACAATTTGTTTTGTTTGATATCAAATATTCTGTCTAAAGGAATTTCAGAAAATTTTCTCAAAAAACTGTGAGTCCATCAACTTTCCTAAGTAAGCATACAATTATACACTCAAACCTAAAGAACTATATATTTATCATGCTTCTAATTTGCCTTACTCTTTACTAATATTGTTTGTATAACTTGCCTTACTCTTTACTATTATAAAAATTTGATATAATGTAGACAACAAATTCAAAGCAATTATTCTGAAATTAGCTCTGTTTTCTTATTCAAAAATTATGCACATCAGATAATTTAATAGCAGTTTGGGGGGGTCATGGGTTATTCCAGTTTGGAATTTATTATATCTACTAAAAGGAAAGAGCACTGGCCCAGAAAATGAACTTGATTCCTTTCCCAGATTATTTTTGTTGTTGTGGGAGCCACAACAGGTGGTGCTCAGACCCAGAAATTCTTGGGGGCCACCAGGTCTGCAGCAGGTGATGCTGGAGTGGGATGGAGTAAAGGGCCTGTGGTGCCAGGAAGAACCATTCCTAGACTTTAACTCTTATTTACAATGGCTTTTATAAAGTCTAGTAACAGATTTATCTTTCTAGATGTTTTATGTTAATATTAAACATAATTTGAGGGCTCCAGGGAGTGTGGGCTTTGGAAGCAGAACATTCAAGAGTTTAATCTCCAGCACTGCATAATACCCCAAGCACTGAGCCAGGAGTGGCTCCATAAGCACTGCCAGGTGTGGCTTGAAAACAAAAATAGAGACAATTAGATTAAAACTCCCAGGTTTTGGACACTGGTGGTAGAAAATGTACACTTGTGGAGGGATGAGTGTTCAATCATTGTATGACTGAAACTCAATCACAACATTTTTCTAACTATCTCATGGTGATTCAATTAAAAAAATAATCTTTAGGTTTCTGCAGAGGGATGGCAGTGAAGAAGAGATGAAGTAAAATGAAAATTTTGCAGTTCATTCTACAATAGGTTATAAGGCTCACATATCCTTGATGCATAGCAGAATAACATACACAGTGGGAGTTTCATTTTGCTTACTAAAAGATAATTCATTTATTAGACAGGAGGTATATTTTTTATCTACACTAAAAGAAGACTCCCAACTATCTTTCTTTAGTATATGTACAGCCACTGGCCACCGGCAGCAAGTTGCACTGGACCGCATCAGGCTTCAGACTTGGAGGAAAGAGCCTTTTTCTAACTCCTGCTCTAGAAGACTTGCTTTGATCTGTTCCATGCAATGGCACAGTGTGTTCATAGGACCCTGAATTTGTGAATGCATTTTTAAATCAGGTCAAGTGATAATTGAATATTAGAATTGTTTACATTTTAAGGATATATACCTATTTTGATCCCAAAGTTTCTCAGTTTTGTCCTGGCTCAAAACCTGATGCACATTAGGTGCAGAACTCAGCTCCGCATGTCCCATACACGGGATAGCTTGTTCCCTGAACTCAACCACTTGTTGGTGAGCCTCTAAATGCTCTGCATGAGGAATGGAGTCAGGGATCGGAGATGCCTTTCCTTGCACTGTCAGGTAGTCTTCCAGACAACCATGAAAACCTGATGTGCTGCTTGTAATGTTTGCTTGAGCAAACTCCCTTTCTACCTGGGGGTTCAAATCTTGTCCCTTTGCACCAGAATTTAATCTGCAGGGACTCTGGGTGAGAGAAATACTAACTGTATCAGAGCAGGGAATATCCAAGGTGGCGCTCCCTGCCGTGGCTGGTTGCAGTGAATCTACTGACTGGAGCTCTGAAGCTCCACACTGGGGAGAAGAGCTGCAGCTGGGAATGTCCCCTGATTTTACGGGGCCTGGGGCTTGCCCCACTGCTAGTTTCCCGAATTAGGGTCACCAGCTACACCAAGATTGAAGGGGCAATCTCTGGCCCAGTGGTTTCCATTATGGCATCGTGGACAAGGTCCAGGTGGTGGCCTCACAGTTGCACGTTTGGGAGGTGCCCTGCAATCCTTACGGAAGCGGCCTGATTTCCCACAATTAAAACATTTGCTCTGATTTTGTCTCTGTATGGCATAGGCCTCGGAAGCATTAATGCGTGCCTGATGTTTGATAGAACCAACATTCCGACATGCCTTCAAGTACCCCATTATGTCCTCCTTCTCCTTAATGGGACGCAGGATGGCCTGACAATCCTCGTTAGCATTTTCAACAGCCAACTGTTTAGTCAAATGTTCCTGGGTTTCCTTACCCTTAACCTGTCTTTCAATGGCTTCCATCAACCTCCCTATGAAATCTGCATATGGTTCTGTGGCACCCTGAACAATCTTTGTATTCGGGCTGGAGCGATAGCACAGCGGGTAGGGCGTTTGCCTTGCACGCAGCCAACGTGGCTGACCCGAGTTCGATTCCTCCGCCCCTCTCGGAGAGCCCGGCAAGCTACCGAGAGTATTCGATATGCCAGACACAGTAACAACAAGGTCTCCAATGGAGACGTTACTGGGCCCGCTCGAGCAAATCGACGATCAACGGGAGGCTCTTTACCTTTACCTTTTACCTATATACCTATTTGAATATAGACATATATGCTCTAAACTACAGAACATTGCCAAATAGAGAAGAAAGCTTAGAAAAACATGATTTACGTGTATAGTTCTTCTTGCAGTCCAATGAAGCATTGTCTTTGGCACAGACTTTCTTAGAAGACTTCTTGTGGTGGGCATTGTGTTTGGCAGTATCCTACCTATCTTGTTAAATGACTTTTTTTGTTTGCCGTAATGGTCTCGTTCTTTTCGGATTTTGGGCTTTAGATGTTCGGTCTTTAATACTTCTGGGAAGAGGAATGATTTTGAGCTTTTATCTGCTTTCATAATTTTATATTTAAATGGATGTGATTCAAAGAACCCAGCATATTTTTCACTGGAATTTTCAAATACCTTTGGATATATAGCTTGTATATCTTTTTTGTATTGTCCAATTATTACTAAAGGCTGTTTTTTGTTGTTATTATTATTTCCTTTCCATCTCTGATAATAATGATCATCTAACTTTGATTTATCCACAGACTCTGAATTGCAATAAGTTGTGTTGCTCTGCCTAGAATGAAAAGGGCATTTGTTTACATATTCTTTGTCTTCATTCGACATTTTGCAACTAGGAATTCTGGGGTATGCTACTAGAACAGCATCAGTATTTCTCTGTATCAGCAGTCTACAAAAGTTATTATGCTCCTTTTTGTCAAGGGACTTTGTTTTCAGCGTCCTTTCAAAGCAAGCATTTGATTGAGCTGGTTTTAATTTGTCACTCCCACTGCATGGATCTTGAATCTCTGTTTTCAAACCAACATTTTCTACTCTAGGGTTCTTGGGAATACCATGTTCTTTCCTTTGTTTCTTTAACACTGTATCTGTCAGTCTTTCTGATGAATTAGTATTTAATGCAGTCACCTGGGAATTGTTGTTGGAAGATTGTGACTCTAAATACAGTGTCTTCGCTTCTTCTGTAGAATTTTTTTTCTGTTCCCCAATAATGGATGGGTTTTCTTTAACACTATTTAAGGGATTTGACTCTTCCTTCCTAATCAGCTCTCTTTCTGTAAGTTTATCCTCGGGAATCTTGATGTTTTGAACAATTTCTGGATATTTATCTTGATTTTCTAAGTGCTCCTTCATACTCTGATTTTCATCTTTATAAGATAGATCTGACTTTATGCTTTTTAATTGTGTGGCACTGGGATTAATTAAATTCATATGAATGTTGGCACTCTCTAATTGCCTTTCTTTGATTAGTCCTGATTTTGAAAGCTTTTTTATCCAAAGGCAGTAGAGACGTTTGCTTAAATTAGCCTGTATATTTAATAGTTCATTTTCTGATAAAGTTTTCAGATAATTTTGTAGAGAATTACTTAGAGGATATTTCATCTTTATTTCAGGACTTCTACCAAAACTACTTCTTGGAATATCTTGTCTTATCCCATGAGAGGATATGGAGGCACTTTTGGTTCTTAGAGAAGACAGGTTTGAGTGTAGTGCCTCAGATTCTATCTCTTTAAATAAACTGTTTTCTGAGAAATTTTTTAGAAAATAATTTTGGAGAATTTCGGTTAAAAATGATCTTAACTTTATCTCCAAGTGTTTATCTATAAAGTGACGATTAAAATTATTTACAAAAGATATGACTTCTTTTATAGTTCCTAAATATTTTTCCAGAAAAATATCTTGCCCTTTTGGTTCTTTCTTCTCATTCATCAAATAAAGATTATGGTAGATTTTTGGTAAGTCCTCTTTGGTGATATGTCCTGATTCTAAAAGTCTTTCTATAAGATAATGCTGGATATGTTTACTTAATTCAGTTTTTAAATTTTTTATTTCTGACTCTGAGAGTTCTTCTAGAAATACACAAAGATTTGAACTCAAAAGAGGTTCTGGGTCTAACTTGTTTACTTTATCAAATTTTTCTTTTATTTCTTCAAAATCTGTATTAGTTAGAAAATATCTGTTAATTAGTCTTTCCAGGTCTTTTTCTGGTCGTCTTTTTCCAGACTGACAATACTTGAAATAAACATTAAAAATAGCTTTTAAAAAAGACATTATTGCTATTTCAGATTCACCAAGATTACCTGTTAATGAGTTACTTAAATGCTCTAAATATCTTATATAATTTTCTTTCCTATAAAAACTCTCACTATTACTTGGCAAATTGGTTTTTGTATCTGGTGTTGACTTGTATTTTGAATACTGTGGAGACATATTTTTGCCTTTGCCTATAAATTGAATTCTGTTAGAAGAAGAAGTGGCTTCTTGGGAAATAAAAGATATATTCTGCTCTGGAAAAGATTCTGAATCTTCTGTAGAATACTTTAAATTTTCCTCAGCAAAGACTGTCTCTGAATCCAGTAAAATTTTTTTGTGATATTCATTATCTAATTCTACCACTTTAATTATCCCACATTCTAAAAGACTATCTATAGGAAATGCTTGTATTATCTGACTTATAATAGATTTGGCCTGCGGTAATTCTATTTTGTCTTCATTTTCTTTATAGTGAAGTAGAATCTTTGAAGACAGATTTTTTCCCTCTGTGGGGAATTGTTTCTGAGTTTCATTTGACACTCCTATCTCTGATGAGTAAGATGGTACAATAAATATTTTCTTTGTATCAAAATCATATACAATGTCACTTAAACCTGATTTGGAGTTAGACATTTCAGTTTCTAAATGTTTTGTTTTGAAACTACTCTTTTTTTTTACTGGAAAATCTTCCTCACCAGCTGGAATGTTTATTTCAGAGACTATTTCCTTTTCTACCAGTGGAATATTTTCTGATTCCTCCTTTGAAGGTGAATTTGTACAACTTAAAGAGGAGCTTGGAATATTTTTTTCTGAAATACAGCTATCTAAATCTTGACTTTTATCAAATGTCTTGTCTTTCAAACCACCTGGTGGCTTATCCTGAACAGTTACAATTAAAGAACTTGACTTTCTGACTTTTATGTCTGTAATACTTTCTGGTTTAGCAAATAATTCATCTGAGAGGTCTTGCAGATCTTTACTTAAAATTGATTTGAGAACCATTGATTGCTTTAAATCTTCCATGTGGGACATAAGACATAATGATTCTGATTGTGGTAGGCAGTCTACATTTACATTTTCAGTCATTGATGATTCTCCTTGAAAGTTTGATAAAGATACATTTGGTTGTGTTCCCTCTAGCACATTCTTATCATCTAAAGTCTTCACTGTGGTATACAGAGATTCATGAGCTAACTCATTCTCCATGTCTGAAGTATTTCTTGTGATATCAGGATCATGACCTAATTTAGGGTAAAGATCCTTTATTGAGATTATATCAGGAGCTTGGTTCCAGGCTTTCTCAGGCTTTTCAGGTTTTGACTGTGCTGGATAAGGAGGATCTTGGTCTTCATGTTCTACAGCATCTGAATATGAACTGCTTCTATATTTTAACATATCTTGATCTTTACTTTTCTTCAGTGATATTTTTTTGTTTATATCTCTTAGGAAAGGCACAAAACCATCCTGGATATTGGATTCCTGGAACTGTAATGTTAAAAAGAAAGGGAGTAAAATTACATAGCATTTATTTTGACTTTACAGTACATTTTTTCCCAAATTTTCTCTGGGCAAACTAATTCTATCTATTCAACCTGCTATCTACAAAAAAACCCAACTTTCATTTCTGTAAAATACTGGAAATTTGAATGAAATTGTTGGATAACATTGGGTTGACCCTGCTCCTATCGCAGGGAGTTTAAGGTTTATTGAGCTACTCCCACAACAGTGCCCCTGAGGCACACACAATTCCATCAAGCACTAATAATCCTATATTGCTTTTTTTGTTCCTTTATGTCATTTGCTGTGCTATCGCTCCAGCCCAGCGATAACACAGCGGTAGGGCGTTTGCCTTGCACGGAGCCAACATGGCCGACCCGAGTTCGATTTCTCCGCCCCTCTCGGAGAGCCCGGCAAGCTACCGAAAGTATCTCGCTCACATGGCAGAGCCTGGCAAGCTACCCGTGACATACTCATATGCCAAACACAGTAACAACAAAGTCTCCAATGGAGACGTTACTGGGCCCACTCGAGCAAATCGATGATCAACGGGAGGGCCTTTACTTTACTTTACTTTACTTTATGTCATTTGCATGGTTTATTTAGCAATGTCCTTTTTGTACAGATACAGGAAGACTCCTCATACTATGCTTTGTAACATGGGAGTTAATTGACTCCAAAATAATATATACTCCTGGGCATCCATATTTACTTTACTTAAGCCTCAGTTGCTCTTAGTTCCTAGCACTCCAAGAGCAGGGTCCTGATGAAGAGACTGGATGGACCCAGGGCAAGCTGTAAGCTATCCTGGCATTGAAAGGGAACAAACTAAGTATCATAAGCATAATAAGTTAAGAGCATGGTCATGGGACAAACTGTGTCATGACCCAATAAGAAGTAACTGAATAAGGACCCTGCTGGGGTTAGGAAAGACTAACGTGGCCTGAGGACTACAGTCTGGGATATACATATCGAGATGTCCCCAGGAAGATCCAATCTTATATCTCTTACTGTGTTCATACAAAACGACTAGAAATAGTATAAGTAAATCTACTACGATTGTTTAAATGGATTACTAGCTGAGGAAAGGAGAAATCAATACACCCTGAATGGAATCCTGCTCTTGAGCAGATCTCCTAGTAATCTGGAGTGCTGAACTCTCAGATGAGATTTTGTTCTTGAGTTCATCTCCTAGAACTTCTCCTGAAGGAGAAGCTATACCTTTGTTGTCATGACAATTTCAACCCCACTTATGTGTACCCCACCCTTCATGATTTCTATATAACTCCGCTGTAAGGGGTAAGAGGGGACTAGAGGGAGGACTAGATGACAACGATGACTGGAAGTAGAGGATATGATGGGATGAGGAAGAAAATGTAATGAGGTAGAAGACTTGGAAGTCTATGAGGAGACTTGGATGATGGAACCATGATGACTGAGACTATGACCAAAACTATGACTACAATTGTGCAGTAAGTGGAGAGATTGAACAACAGTGGGGAAGAGAGAAATAAACTCTCTACCAACCATCCTGGGGCCCAGTCCTTGTTTCTCCATTCTCCCAGACCTTTGTACATCTATCACCATGCATCGGCCAGGACAATGGTTCTCAGCCACCAAACACTCGTGTCCCTCATGTGTGCCCACACCTTTTCTCTTGGAAATTCACAGAAATGATAATTTTAGTGCAAAATACTTCAATTCAAAATTCTGATTTTTATGTCAAAGAATTTTTGCTAAATTTTAAAAAAAAATATTTAAAAGAGATGTAGTAGTTTAGCTTGCTGGGCTCTTTGAGAGGGACGAAGAGCTACCAAGAATATCCCACCTGCACAGCAGATCCTGGCAAGCTACAAGTGTCATATTCAATTAAAAAAATATAACAATAAAGGGCCTCATTCCTCTGACCTCTGAAAGAGCCTCCAATATGGCAGAGTTGGGAAGGATGAGTAAAGAAAGACTGTTAAAATCTCAGGACTGGGACAAATGGAGATGTTATTGGCGCCCGCTCGAGCAAATCAATGATCAACGGGACAACAGTGATACAGTGATTCAGTGATATTATTTTTAGAACTCAATTTTCAGTAGTAACTGCTTTGCTTAGATCTTTCTTTCTTCAGGAACTATCCATATGAGTACTTACAGTGTAGTGATTAAAAGTATTTACAATTTATATTAACAATGAAAGATGACTAATATATCCCATTAAAAGAATAATAAATATAGGGGCCAGGATATAGTACAGTGTTTAGGTCACATGCTTAGCATGTACCTGATCTAGGTTCAACTTCCAGCACAACATACTAAAGTTGTTGTATTTAGGGTATTTTCGTTTTTATTTTTGGGGCATACCCAGAAGTGTTCAGGCCTTACCCACGGTTCTTTGATCAGGGACCACTCCTGAAGGGCTCAGGGGATGTTATCGTGTGCTGGAGATCAAACCTGTGTTGGCGTCATGCAAGGCAAATGTCTTACTACCAGCTGTACTCTCTCAGGTCCCAACTTATGTATATTTTGAAGAAAGCAAAATGTGAATTAATTAGTCAAATATTTATTTCAAATTAGATCAAAGTTTATTTTAATAGATAACAATGAATTATGGGCTGGAGCGATAGCACAGTGGGTAGGGCGTTTGCCTTGCAAGCGGCCAACATGGCCGACCTGAGTTCGATTCCTCCGCCCCTCTCGGAGAGCCCGGCAAGCCACCGAGAATATCTTGCCCGCATGGCAGAGCCTGGCAAGCTACCCATGACATATTCGATATGCCAAACACAGTAACAATTGTCACAATGGAGACGTTACTGGGCCCGCTCGAGCAAATTGATGAACAACGGGAGAACAGTGATGGTGATAGTGATGGTGAACAATGAATTATTGTAACTTGTTTCCCAATACTAGCTGATACCCAGGTGACAACTTAAGAATTCTCTGGGATTCTTTGTGAAACTCAGAAGCTCAGAACTTCATTTAGAGTGAGATCCATTAAGTCAGAGATAGAACCTAGAAATAATTGTTTATTTATTTTTAAGCTGACTATTAGAGGTGTGTCTAATAGGTAGTCTGGTTTTGAGCCATTAAATTATGTGAACTATTACAGAATCTAGTATTTTGAATATTGCTACTATTGACAATGGATAACAAAACTCACCGAACATGTGGAACTAAATGTTACGCTTTTTGGACTTAAACATGATGAATCTTTTTCTTCCAGTGGAAAATCCACCTTATAAAAGAGAAAAGGAATCATTTTAGACTGCTTTAAATGCAAGGATATTTCTGAAGATAATTTTACCTTACTTGATGCTGTAATAATTGTCCAACTTAATTTATACAATCAAAATTATACAAAAATTTAAATCAGAAATAAAAGTAGAAAAGTAAAATTATCATCACAAAAGTTAGTTTTAGGAGTTTGTAAAATTCCTTACCTAGTGACATCTAACACTAAAAGGAAATAGCATTTTTAGCAATTCTCAGTCTATAATTATTAAATGGTGACTTAAAACTTCCTAAAGAAATACTTGGTGCAACCAGCCCCCCACTGGCCTCCGCCTCAGGTTGAAATCTGCTGAAAACTTCAGATACCTGAATCTCTGTGGCACTCAACTACATGTCCCTTTGGAGTCAGAATGAGAGACTTCCTCCCACCTCTCCATATTTCAGAAGACCCAGCATCCACACCCAGTTAAATGTTTAACTGCCCAGTTAAATATTCTGGATTTTCTCAAGGGACATATCCAAACTCTACAATACTTACATCCCAGTAATAGCACTACACTTGGATGAAATAGAATGCTGAAGTCAACCAATGTCAACTAACAAAAACATTAACACTAAAGGCTTAACTTGCAACATCAGTTTAGTAATCCCTTAGACAAAGACTTAATATCCCCATGGTGAGATACAGCCATTTTCACAAATTTTTTTCTTCTGAAATAAGTTTTTGATCATTCTGTTAGTCATTTACTGGTAATAAGCAACATAAAATAAATTATTGTGGGCCTACTACAGGGGCAGACTTGAGGAGTGGTTGAGAAAATGGAGACAATGGCAGAAAGAAGGTGACAGTAGTGGTGGGATTGGTGTTGGAATGTTGAATGCCTATAACAAATAGACATGAATAACTTTGTAAACCACAGTGTTTAAATAAAACGAGGGGAAAATTAAATACTTAAATAAATGTGCAAATGAATAATTATGGAATTAGACATACTTCTTCCTTCCCTCCCTCCCTGTAACCACAGGCAATCATATTGCTTTCTTGGGCACCTGCATTGAACTGCCTCCACATTGACTGATAATTGCTGGTGGGGGCCCCTGGGCCTCCGGAGTACTGCTTGGGAGCTCTCCCACCCAGCCCCTCAAAGAATCATAAGACCATCAATATTTAAGACATGTAAGATACTTTAGAGATAATCCAGTCCTAATCATGGTATTACAAGAATCTGAAGTTGAAGTTCTGGCCTCAGTTTACCCAGATGATTAGTAGCCCCAATCTCACTGACCTAAGTTTCCATGGGTGATTATTCCTTCATGCAATCAAGACTGCAGTGAAGGACCTGGAGAGATAGCACAGCAGGTAAGGTGTTTGCCTTGCACGTGGCCAACCTGAGTTCAATCCTCAGCATACCATTTGGTCCCTTGAGCATTGCCAGCCCCCCCACCCCCCAAAAAAAGACTGCAGTGAAAAATTTATATTCTTTTAAGTATTTATATAAGAATATATAAGTACATTTTTTATAAGTACATTTTTTTTGGCTTTTTGGGTCACACCTGGCAATGCTCAGGGGTTACCTGGCTCTGCACTCAGGAATTACTCCTGGCAGTTCACAGGGAGTCATATGGGATGCCAGGGATCAAACCTGGCCACATACAAGGCAAGTGCCCTACCTGCTGTACTTTCTCTCCAGCCCCTAAATACATTTTTAATGTATTTGCATGTCTACCTATGTCCCACTACATAGTAAAGAAAGATGTTGTAAATAAGACCTTAAAGCTCGATATTACAAGTTTATTAAAATCAACTGTATTTGGGAATATTTCTGTGATTAAGAATGGCAGTCACTGGGCTGGTTACTGGAGAGGTGGTAGCCAACACTGCCTTGCTGACCAAGGTTATGAAGTGCCTGGTGTTCAGGAAGCGGCTGTGACGCTGGTAGAGGAGGGAACTCGCCATACCTACCTACTAAGAACTATCTGATGGCCCCGAATTATTCTGCGTTTGAGACTGACATTATGAAGAAATGAATTGGAAAGATTGGCTACCCAAAAAGCAATTGAACTGCTCAGTATGAAAACAAAACAAACACTACCCTCCCATTGTTCATCGATTTTGCTCGAGCAGGCCCAGTAACATCTCCATTTTAAGACTTGTTGTTACTGTGTTTGGCATATTAAATACGTCACAAGTAGCTTGACAGGCTTTGCCCTGCGAGCGAGATACTCTGGGTAGCTTGCCGGGCTCTCCGAAAGGGGTGGAGGAATAGAACCCGGCTCGGCTGGGCTGGTTGCGCAGAAGGCAAAAGCCCTACCGCTGTTCTATCACTACAGCCCCACTCATACTCAGTATGAAAAATTAAAAATTCCAGCACTTTTCTTGGAACAAAAAAATGACATTACTGCAAGGCAAGAATGTGTAAGCAATTCAATGGTTCAGTTAGAGCACCAGGTAGAATTGAGAATCTAGAGCTGATGTCACAGCGTGGATATAATACCTGAAAAGTATATAGTGCAAATTTAGTTCATTGATTGAACATAAAAAGAAGGAATTCTAGAAGTTAAGGAAACATATTCAAGATCTAAACTGGCAGCAAAAGAACAATGCAGCGTAACTGGGTTTAAATTAAGAGAAATGGAGTAAAATTGGGTCCCACTGGTAAGAAGTATGAGATTGAAAGGACCATAGTGCAACTAGAAAATGAAGTCTTTCAAAATGAGGCAACAGCATGGAGGGGCAAAAAATGAAAACATCCACCAAGATTTCTGAAAAGACAAGTTAACTCGGGTTAAAAGGAAGGTACCTTCTAGCTTTCACTGATCAGGTCACTGAGCTGTGAAGGACAAAAGTGTCTCAAGGCAATCACCAATGATTAAATATTTATAGGATGTGGACTTTCATGTTCTGTTTTTACATTAGCACACATAAAAAATAAATAAAATATAGTTATATTCACATTACTCACAGAAGATTAATTAAAAATACTAAAGAAAAAATTATAACATTTAAAATAATCCTAATGATCTTGTATATGCCATACATTTATTAACGTTTTACAATATTTTTATCAGCAGCATTTTTGTTCTGTGGCCACACCCGGATGTGCTCAGGGTTTACTCGCTTTGTGCTCCTGGCAGGCTAGGGGGACCATATGTGGTTACAATCATAGGGATTGAATGCGTGAACAACAAATGCCCCAAATGCTGTATTATTGCTCTGAATCCTCATCAGGAAAATTGTCAATGTAATATAATTTCTGTGTACTGAAAAGAAGCAAGAAAAGGACTAGGGTGTGGTACAATGGGCGTTTTTCTATATTTTGGGTGAAAATGCAAATTAGTAAGCCTGGTTTAAAGGATAATCTGAAAATATAAAAAGTAAATATGCTCATACACTTTGATACAATTCTATTTTTAATTAAATAAAAGTTTTAGAGAAATATGGGAGAGGGAGGGAACAGTGCATAGGGTTAACCTTCCTTATCCTGGTGATTCTTTTAGAAAGAATATAAGTGAATGTGTGTGTGTGTGTGTGTGTGTGTGTGTGTCTGTGTGTGTCTGTGTGTGTCTGTGTGTGTGTGGAGTGGGGGGGTGGAGAATGAGAGAGGAGAGAGGGAACACATAGGTAGTACAGGTTGGGGAGAAGGCACAGAGTATGCCCCTTCTTCTTTTTTAAAAAACATTACATTTTCTTTTATTTTAAATTATGCTATGTTCTTTTTTTTCTTTTTATTTCTTTTTTGTTGTTGTTTTTAATTTTATTGAATCACCGTGAGATAGTTACAAGCTCTCATGTTTGGGTTACAATCACACAATGATCAAATACCCATCCCTCCACCAGAGCACATTCCCCACCACCAATATCCCCAGTATACCTTCTTCTTATTTTCAGATTGTTATTTAAGCATGTTATTTACAATGCTAATAACAAAAGTTCAGGCTTACACTGCTCCAAACCCACTACCAGAGTGTCAGTGTCCCACCACCAGCGTCTCAGGGTCCTCTCCCACTCTTTTGTATTTGTTACTCCCTTACTATGTTTGTATACGTTCCAAATGAGAGAGAAATTTCTCATATTTGTCCCTCTCAACTTACTTCACTTAGCCGAATACTCTTGGGTTTCAATCCACATAGTGGCAAATTGCATTTTTCATCTTTTTTTCATCTTTTCTTATTAATAGCTGAATACTATTTCATTTGGTATAAATATCAGTTTCTTTATCCATTCTTTATCCATTGCTGGGTCACACAGAAGGTCAAGTCATTTCCCCAACCCCCACACATCCCTGCCAGCATTTGTTGCTTCTATTCTTTTTTGCTTCTATTCTATTCTGCCAATATCACCGGTGTATTTATATATCATTGTTGTTTTTATTTGCATTTCTCTGATGATATGGGATAAAGAGCACTTTTTTTGTATAGTATTAGCACTCTGTACATCTTCTTTGAGAAAGCGTATGTTAAGTTCTATTTTTTCACAGCACTGTTTAAATGTTTGTTCAGTTTTGTCAGTGTTTTATACATTTTGGATATGTCCTTTGTCAGATGTGAGATGATAAATACTTTCTCCCAGTCCATAGGTTGTCTTTTTATTTTATTCAGGTTTTTTTTGCAGAATCTTCTTAATTTGATGTAATCCAGTTTATTTTTACTTTTGTTTGATTGGCAAAGGCACTTAGTGAAGAAGATTCTGGATTAAGCATAATAAAGAGTTCTTCTTATGTTTTTTTTCCTCACTGGATTCAGATCTAATATAGAAGTCCTTAATCTATTTTGAATTAACTTTTGAGAGTATGGTACAAATAGGAATTTTATATATATATATATATATATATATATATATATATATTGCAACTGGCTAATCAGTTTTCCCACTACCATTTGTTGTTAAGTCTTTTTTTCCTTGCTCTACTTCATACACTTAGATCCTTTGTTCAAAATTAACTTTCCATATACCTGAGGATAGATTGCAGGGCTCTCACATCTATTTCATTGGTGTGAAAGTCT